CCCCCCTGCTTTCTCTCTCCATCTCTATGCCCTCAACTCTCTCTCTCTCTCTCTCTCTTGTCACTTCTTCTCCATGGCGACGCTACTGTTCTCTTTACCGATAACATTCCAAAGTGTTATAACTATATAGAACTATATATATTTACATATCGTCCCATTCTTCTAAACGGAGACTCTCTCCTTATTTATTTGTTGGCAGAGCTACAGAACATGAAGAGAAGGGAAGGGGAGGAGAGGACGGCATACAGTGTCGTCCAATTAAATTGAGGGTCCCAAGAAATTCTGCCTTTGACTGGTGACTGTGGGCCACCATAACATTTTTTTAATATTTTTTAGTGAATGAATTTTAATATATATTTTTGTCAAGAGCTTTTCTTATAAATTTCTTATATCTCTCATTTTCAATTTATTATTTTTATTATTCTAATTCAATAAATAACTTTGTTAAATGTGAAAACTAAATTTTTAATATATATATATAATTTTTATCAATTAACTTAGGTCTGATTTGGTTGTCCGTAAGTTTCCGTTTCCGATTTCAATAGGTGAAAAAGTTACTATTTACTATTTGTTTACGCGACTTTTTAAAAACGCCTTTTGCTATACCTCTGTATTTTCACCGATATGAGAAGAAAAAAATTCTACTTCTCCGTTGTAATACATTCGTTTAAGAATGAAAATAACGTCGGGGGGAACCAAACGAAGCCTTAACTTATGTTTCATTTGAAACAGTTTTTTTTTATTGTTTCTTAAAACATTTTTTTAGTACAAAACTTTTAATTGTGTATTAAAAAGCTACTTCAAGAAACAATAAGAAAACCGTCTCAGACAAAGCCTTAATCTTCATTTAAAACAACTTTCTTATTGCTTTCTAAAACAATTTTCAAGAATAAAAATTTCTTAAACTAAAAAAATTTTGCACTAAATAACTGCTTTAAAAAGTTGTAAAAAAACTATTCTAAGCAAAGCGGTAGCCCCATTATTTAAATTTATGAATTTCATTTTATTTTATTTGGCTATTTTACTGCGTATGAGAAAGGATTCGAATTGTTTCATTTGATGGACTTAGAATTGAGTTGCACTCAAAGGTTTCTCCATGCATGCACTCAAGATTTTGGTCTTGTGATATGATGTCCTATGACATAGTTCTAATCTGATGAATTGACCTACATAAATAAGATTTGAATGTCATTATGCTTCATTCAATTAATATTTATTTTTATGCCATAGATAAAAATCATTGGCTTGATCTTTAATCATATATTTCATTAAAATTTTGATTAAAATTTGCGCTTTTAGAGATTATATTGACCTTAGAGTGATACATTTAGAATGAATGTGGCTATTGCAAACTTTTTATTTATTTATTTTTTTTATAGATTTGACTAAATTATTATTTTGGCCACAAATGATTTTAGTCACATAAATAATAATTTTAATTTTTTAAAAAATTTGTGACTAAAGATAAAATATGATTAATAAGATTTTTATATGCTTACTTTTAAGGAAAATATGTGTATGAAGATTAATGAAATAATTATTTTCTAATTAATTTTAGCATAATTGAAGAAAACTTTATTTTAACAAATGTACATACACTTTGCCCCTAACCTCAAAGTTTTTTAGTTGGTTTATGTTAAAAATAGGAATCCTCTAAAATTTTTTGATAGGCAACGATCATAGAGAGCAGAACAGTCAAAGTGTAATATGAAAGAGTGAATACTAATAACGTAGACGTGCAAACCCTAGTTGTAAGGGATGAAGAAGATAGTTATATTCTTTATGATCTATCAATGATAAGTAAATTTCCAGCAATTTTGATGTCGTTAATAAGATTTTTTAAAAAATTGGCAAGTTATCCATACAAAAATCGACATAATTATAGCGATTGAGTATTACATTGAATATTCCATTAGAAAGTTATTGATATTTTCGATTAAAAAATTCCTTCTACAATAACCACTGATATGCCCATGTTTTACATAGTGAATCATAAGTCTCATATATACCATCCCTTACCTTCTCCCGATATTCTTTATTTTCCCTTCTTTACATTCTTGATGATCTACATTTCCCTTACTAGACAAAAGTCTTATTCACACACTTAGGCTTCGTTTGTAACAGCTTTTTTGTTGTTTTCTAAAGCAAATTTCTAATACAATACTTTCTTGGTATTAAAAAGTTATTTTTGAAAACATTAAAAAAGTTGTCACAAATAAAGTCTTAGCTTTTGTTTGAGTCGACTTTCTTATTACTTTCTAAAACAGATTCTTAATACAAAAAAATTATAGTTCATAAATTTTTTGTATTAAAAATTTGCTTTAGAACGCAATCAGAAAGCCGCCCCAAACGAAGCCTTAATCTCATTATTTTATGCTCTAAATTGAACTCATCTCTCTTTTGTTATCTTTCACTCCTTTTTTTCATGAGCTTGTGAGAACCATGATGCCCTCATCTGTTGATTTCTCTAGCATCTCCATTCAAACCAGCACTAATAACAAAGCTAATGGAAATAAGAAAATTTTGACCTTTAGAAGGAGCAAGCATTATTGAGGAAGTCTTTTTTCTAATTTTTTTTATCAAGGAAGTAATTATAATTAAAATAAGGGAAATTTACATACATACCACTTTATAACATCCTATTTACATATCTAACACCTAAAACTTTAATATTACATGCACAAATCTCTCTCACGCCTATATCGCCGAACCCGACGTTTTTATGAAGAAAGGCCCCCTCTTATGCTTCCCATACTTGAAGCTAATATTTATGTGAAACAAAAACAAATAAATTTCTCTATAATTGCTTTATATTAAATACAATAAATTTACAATATAAAAAATTCTCTATAGTATAAAATAATAAAAATCCATGTAAAATTTGACTTAGAAGTTATGACATAATTGAAATTTCTTAAAAATAATGTTAAAAAAGATTTATTAGTGATATGAAGAAGTGAAAAATAGAATATTCCAAATAAAAAAAATTCAAAATAGTTTTCAGACCATTCATATATGATATGTTGCCTAATTTAATCTCTCGACTATACAAAATTGTTTCGAAATAATCCCTCGTATTATAATTTTGATATAAATTATTTTATAATTTAATCCATCGACTTTACAAAATTTATTTCATTTTAGGCTTCAATTGGAACGCCTTTCTTACTGCTTCTTAAAATAGCTTTCTATAATTTAGAAGCTATTTTAATAAGCAGTAAGAATATTATAGAAAGCTACTTCAAGAAACAATAAGAAATTCGTCCCAAATAAAACTTTATTCTCAAATAAATCATTTTGAATTAGTAAAAATTGAAATAATATTATATTTTACGATTAAATTAATCATATATATGATAGTCCACACAAATTTTAAATTTAATCCATTCTAAAAATAGAAACGAAATTGTGAGGCAGTAATATCAGATATTGCAATCTCTATTTGACCGTTAGTATATTTTTCCCGCGTATATCGGAATGACGATCTCCGCCTGTAATCAACGGTGGATATCAGCTCCCATCAAATTCGACGCTACCGATTACTCGATACGCGCTACCAATCTCCCCGCCGGCACCGAATCGAATTCCCTCATCCCGTATCGGTTTCGGTGCTGGGTCACCGTCCCCGAGTTCTCCTCTCTCTCTCTCTCTCTCTCTCTCTCCTTCCTTTCCCATCCTCCGCACTCCGCTGTCGCCTCTTTCTCTCTCTACCGCTCAATCTCTTCTTCTCCACATAGCTTTTTCCGTTTCCACCCTTTTAATTTATTTTCTCTTTCGGACGCTTCATTTTTCTCCTCCGCGTCCTTTTTTATCTACCGCAGAAGCTAAACCTACATCATACGAACCACGCGAGTCGCCGTCGTCTTCGTCTACTTCGCCTTATTTAATTGGAGCCAGCCCTCTATTTTCTTCTTTAGGTCATTTCTCACATCCAGATCTTTGCAAGGTATCTTTCCTTGCAGATTACAGATTTCTTTCATGTCTAGGGTTTCAAGCTTTTCCCTTTGATCTTTTTCTTTTTGTCTTTTATTTTTTTTGGGGTTTTTTATATGGTTTATTAGATTGCTGACTGAGTCATGGCGATCGTCAAGAACAGCTTTAGGGTTTCTAGAATGAACGGCGATTTCTCACCTGTGACTCTTTCAAGCGAAGAGGATGATGAGAGCTCGGCGTCGCTGGCGTCGTCAAGCGACGGAGGTTCTGCTTCCGATGCAGATTCTGGCATGGGTTCAGACGAGATCGATCTCTCCGAGTTCGGTGAGTCGGGAATGGAGTTCTGCCAGGTGGGGAACCAGAGTTGTAGCATCCCTCTAGAACTGTATGATCTTTCTGACCTTGGGGCGGTTCTGTCAATTGAGACATGGAACGATTGTCTCACCGAGGAAGAGCGGTTTGCTTTGACCGAATATCTCCCCGACATGGACCAGGAGGGTTTTGCCCTAAACCTAAAGGAGCTGTTTTGTGGGATGAATTTTCATTTTGGAAGCCCTGTTATGAATTTCTTCAATAGGTTGAAAGGCGGGTATTTTGACCCGAGGGTAGTTCTTTACCGCCAAGGTTTGAATTTATTTAAGCGGCGACACTACTATCATTGGTTAAGAAATTATCAGAACTCCATTCTGGGGAATCTTGTTCAGATTAGAGATACTTGGATGAACTGTAATGGATATAGCATTAAAGAGAAGCTGCGAGTTTTGAACAAGTTGAAACGAAAGAGGAGTTTCGGTTATGATAAGAATGGAGATTTGGGTTCTGAGACGAATTCTGAAAGCGACAACTCTAGTGAGGATTACTGGAGTAAAAGGTTCAATATGAATCGTCGAGCTACCAAATTATCTCACAAAGTTCCTTCTGAGGTTTTCTCGCAAAGGAGCAGGTTGGATATGGAGCCAGCAAGGTTTGGCAAGGAGAAATCTAAGGGAATTTTGAAGATTGCTTCCCCGAAGGGCTGTAAAAACAATAAAGGTAGCAACTTTCCTTTGTTGTTTGACAATGGAGCAGAGAAAGCAGAAATGCCCAGAGTATCACACGGTTTTGGCCAAAAAAGTTACTATTCAGGATTTGATTTGCTTAATGGCGGTGGCAGAGGAGTTGCTGGCAGCTATTTTGAGGCGCAGGGCAATACATTTGCTGGGCAACGTGAATGGAATTCGTGTGGCAGAATAAAGATTTCTAGGTCCGGTTTGATGAAATCAAAAAATAAGAAGGATTTTCTGGAAGAGGAACCAAAAAGGTATCTTGGGTTGCCTGATTATCTTGGCAGAGGCAGGAACTCTGATCAGGAAGTTACCATTGCTTCTTATGACTTTGATCCTGCTACGAGTGTGAAGAAACTGAATCATTCTGACAGGAACTTGAAGCATACTGTGAAAGATGGCCTTCAGCATCGATTGCCCAAATCCAAAGTATCTAAGGGTTCTGCTATTACTCCTCCCTTCAGGCAACACAAAGTTTATGATGAATCTGATCCTCTCAACAATTCTGATATGTTGGATGACAGGAGTACAAGAGCAAAGAAATTGAAAGCTGGAGATCATCAATGTTTTGATGCAAGTAGAAGTGGCATTGATTCAAAAGTTAAGTCTTATAAAGTTCTTCCTGCGGAGATGAGTGAACCGCTCTTTCAACCAGAATATAGAACAAAAATTTCACAGGGTAAGCTGAGAGATAAATCATCTCATCAATTACGAGCCAGTGATAAATATTCAAGGGATAGGCCTACCTATGCTCAAAGTGAAGAGACTGAATCAGATTCTTCAGATCAAGGTGAAGAAGCTGGGGATGGTTATCCGTACACAAGCAGATCAGAACTTCCAAGTACTGCAACTGAAACTCGGCAGTCAAAAATTGTTAAACCAGTACATGATCCTAAAAAATCAAGTAAAACTGCAAAATCCAATAAAAGGGATCGTTCTCATCCACTCGATGGTGGTATGAGTGGTCACACAGCAGAAGATGAGCCTTATTGTAAAAATGTCAAGCAGAAGGGTAAAACAAATCGTAAAAGCTACTTGACTGAAGGTAAATCAGCAAGGAAACACCAAGCAGTGCATATCAGTGAAGAGTCACAGCTTGCTTCACATGGTTCTTATGCTGTAGAGAGAAAGAGGAAAGGTTCAGCAAATGCATATCACTCTTTCCAACAAGCAAATGAAAATTGTAATCTTGGAAGTAGCATTTTAGATGAAGCTGAGGATAATTTTGATGCAAATACAAGTCTACAGGATATGCAGCTGCAAGAAGATAGATCTGTAAGCAAAAACAAAAAATCTACTGATTATGCTTTTGAGATTGATCATCACCAAAGTTCAAACATCCCTGGGATGGGTTGCAATTCCTTGTTGGAGGATATAGGGAAGGAACAAGATGGGTGTCTTGAAGGTCTGGATGGACCTTCTTACCAGCAGTTTAGTTCAAAGAAGCAAATTGAAGATTCCTCTACTACCAAAAAGAGAGGTAAAAGAAAAGCCGACGTAGCTGTCTCTTCCCATCTGTTACTCCCTGAACCAATCATTGTGGAGAAGGGTGCATCTGAGTTAGAGCTTGATACAAGGACACAGAGAAAATCCTTCACTCTGATAACACCCACCATCCACACTGGCTTTTCCTTCTCCGTTATACATCTTCTTTCAGCTGTTCGGAAGGCCTTGGTATCACCTCATATGGAAGATAATACAGAGATTGGTAATCATCTTGAGAAGGTTACAGGAGAGCCAAAAAGGTTACCACAAGTTGCCAATGACATTCCTCATTCTCAGGATCAAATGGAAGGCAGCTTTCTTGAGCCTTGCGGACGGAGTAGTTTCCCTTCTCTCACAATTCAGGAGATCGTTAATCATGTCAGATCAAACCCTGGAGATCCTTGCATTCTTGAAACTCAGGAGCCGCTCCAGGATTTGATTAGAGGAGCTTTAAGGATATTCTCATCTAGAACTGCACCGTTGGGAGCCAAGGGTTGGAAGGCACTTGTATCATATGAGAAGTTGTGTAAAAGATGGGCGTGGATTGGTCCACTTTCTATTAGTTCATCTGATAACGATAATGCTGAAGAAACTTCTGCCGAGACTTGGTGCATTCCACACAAGATGCTTGTCAAATTGGTTGATGCCTTTGCTAATTGGCTAAAAAGTGGTCAAGAGACCCTTCAGCAAATAGGAAGTCTTCCAGCACCGCCTGCCATGTTGCCCGTCTTGGATGAGAAGGAAAGATTCAGAGATCTCAGAGCCCAGAAGAGTCTTAACACTATCAGGCCAAGTTCTGAAGAAGTAAGGGCATATTTCCGGAAGGAGGAGCTCTTACGATACTCAATTCCAGATAGAGCCTTCCAGTACACTGCATTTGACGGAAAAAAATCCATTGTAGCACCATTGAGAAGGGGTGGCGGCAAGCCAACTTCAAAAGCACGCGATCATTTTATGCTCAAGCCAGATCGCCCACCGCATGTCACCGTTCTTTGCCTTGTTAGAGATGCCGCTGCCAGATTGCCTGGAAGTGTTGGAACCAGAGCTGATGTTTGCACTCTGATCAGGGATTCCCAGTATATTGTTGAAGATGTCACTGATGCACAGATCAACCAAGTTGTCAGTGGTGCTTTAGATCGTTTACATTATGAGCGTGACCCTTGTGTACAATTTGATGGAGACAGGAAATTATGGGTTTATCTGCACAGGGACAGGGAAGATGAAGATTTTGAGGATGATGGTACATCATCCACAAAAAAATGGAAAAGGCAGAGGAAAGATACTACAGATAATTCTGACATTGCAGCAATGAATGATGCTAACATTGTTGCAGCTGGGGACCTAACTATGGTTGGTTCTTCTGGATATGATTTCCATCCTGATCTTAATGTTGATTCATCAGCTGTCGACAATGGTGAACTTGTTTATAGCGATATGAGGCCTACTAAGGAGAATTTTCAGTCTTTTATCAACACATCGCATTTAGATAGACGTCAAGACAACCTCATAAATTGGGAGGTACTTGGGGTGAATCACTTGCCGGAAAATAAAATGCTTTGTCAAGAGAACTCCACAAATGACGATTTTGATGATGAATCTTTTAGCAGAGATAGGACAGCTGCCTTCTTGAATGGAAGCTTATTGTGAAATTGTTTTCCATGATCTCAATATGTGATTCCATGTTTCAGGAATGATCACGGTAATAATAATTGCAATAAGTTTTTTAATTTCTGAAATTTAGTTCTACACTCGTGTTTTTGTTCCAAAATATTGCATTTGTAAAGATTAGTTAGCATATATGCATATCATTTTACTGTCTTTCCATCAATTAGGCTTTCTGGTTATCTTTTTTATTACTTATCCTCTCTTCCTGAATTTACTTGTGACTAACCAATTGATTATGAACTCAATGACTTTCTTCTCAATCGTTATGGTTATTCTTTGTTTTGTTGCTTTCTTTTGTTCTCATATGATAATTCTATCTTGCTGGTAAGTTCTGGATGGACACAAGCATGATTATGGTGTTTGTGTCTGACCGATGGATCTTTTATTCCATGTAGAAGCTCAATGGGCCAAGATCTCGTGCCAGGCAAGTACACTAAAACAATTTGTAGTAACTAATTTCATTTAAGTGGTTATAAATGATGTAGGAAGTCACAGGATTTGGGTTTATTAATGCAACTAATATAATGCTTATTATGGTCACATGCAAAGAAAATTGAGGATTGTATTTAAGTTTCACAAATAGTATTTTAACTTGTCAGTTTTGATCACAATTAGGAGCACTAAACATGACAATATCAAATTATGTAAATGAAATATAATAAATAACAAAAATTTGGAAGTAATAAAAATCAAATCTCCTGTCTGTATATCAAGAAGGTTTCATATGTTATTAGGTTTTCGCATTTGTATTATAATCCAAAGAATCATACATTTAACTTGCACTCATAAGATTAAAAACTAGAAGTAAATTTTTTGTAACCATAGTTACAAATTACATTGCTCAAAACATCTATTTATAGACTCCTCTTTTTTTTAAGTTAGTAGATATGATCGGAATAGGATAAGCTCTATTTATGTTTCATTAATTACAACTGTAACTTGAATTTTCATAACATTATCTCTCCATGGCCGAGATAGCCTAGCATGCCGTTCTAATTCTATAATGCATGGGATTGGGACAAATTCAAAAAATGAAACTCACCAAAAACTCACAAGGTAGGGGTGATTATGGTTTAGTTTTGTTTTATTTCATGAATTTTAGAATCAAGCCATTAATGTTAGTTCTTAGATAGCTCAAACCAAATCGTTATATTCTAATATAAAAATCATTACTTTAGTTTTTATTAGCTTTTAGTCTTGAGATTTAAAGAGAAATGTTGCATTTAATTGGGAGAAAAAAGATGCATATATGCACAATATGTACATGTAAAATTTTTGTTCCAACAGTTAGAACTTTTAATCCATATGTTCAAGGATTCCTATTATTTTATGTTATCTTTTGAGAATTTGCCTTTCTTTGTTGAATTCATTATATTTTGGAGAGGAGTAAAAGATAAATGTAGAATGCTCACGTGAGAAGATAGGGAAAGAAATTTTAGATTGCCTCTACTTATCAAAACTCATAAAAATTTCTTATGAAATATTCCATATTTTAATCATAAAAATTCTTTGTATATTTTTATTTTAACTTTATGGGTTTTGAAGCTCCCAAAGAAATTTTGTTCCTGAGATTAATTACATCCTGGGGAGTGCTTAAGAATACTCTCGATAAAAGAGAATAACTTGTGTTCCAAATCTATTCAATCAGGTTTTTCAATGAATGATAGTCATTTCAGTATGGGGAGCCAGCCTTATGTTTCAAGGCCATAAGATAGAGAAGGTGAATCACTGTATCCTAATAGTCAGTCGCCTTGCAACAAATGAGGGTCGAATAAATGACCTTATAGCTGAGCATCAAAGGGATGAATGAGCTCAAATGGGTTGATGGGTGTATGAGAGGAATCAAGAAAATATAGGCATGATCTGAATCAGATCATCTGATTCGGATTTCATGGATCCCTCTTCCTAAGTCATCAAGCTTGAGATTCACTTAGCGACAAAGGTAGTTGACCCAACTGAGCCTTGAGACACTCTGTTAGCAACTATGAGGTGCTCTAGAGGAATCTCTTGATCTTAAACTAAGGAAAGAAAACACAGCTTCCTAGATAGGCATTTATAGTAGATGGATTTTGGAAAGAGCATAGGCCTTACTAGATAGAAAGGATGCCTACAACAACAACAAAAAAAAAAGGATAGAGACAATTTAATCACAAGAATTAAGCTATTTGAACTGACCTTTATACCTTATAATCCTGTTTGGATAAGAAAAACCACTAACATATCATATATCAGTCTAGACCACAGGCAAAAAAAAAAAATGCAATCAAGTCAGATATAAGTAATTATTCTCCACATGACATGAATGATGCAAAATTATCTGTCCTAATTTTGAGGTTTTACTAATATGATTTAGGTTTTAGATCATGAAATGCTTTTGTGAATCAATCATTGCTAATAATTGTTTCTCCCTTATGAAAAGGCATAAGAAGCACACAATGCCACCTATGCATCCATATGATCACAAGGGGATCAATTTTATTTTATGTTTTAAAAGTGGCCATAATGACAATGCAATAATTATAATTTTAGAATATATGAATATGAAAGTTAGTTATAATTGATTTCATGTAGATTTTAATGAATATTTAAATCTTATTAAATATCTAATAGGAATGATTTAGTTGACTATGATAGGTTAGAAGTACTATATAAAAAAATCCCTTTAAACTACTAGCGTGGGTGAGAGCGTTGTGGAGTAGCGGGTTTTGGTTGGAGGGTGCCTCAGGCGGTGGCAAGCGGAAATGCCTGCGACCACCACCATTATTATTATAATTAGAAAGGGTCGAGGCTCCCAGTTTGAAGGCTTGGGAAAGTTTTTCTTAACCTATGAGGCTACCTCTAAGGTCAAATCAACATATCCTATGCCTCTATAGCAAATCTATTTGGCTATAGAGAGATGGAATGAGGGAAGAGAGTGAAAAGCTATATCTTTAAGAGGTTGATGACGAAGGTACCTCAAGCAACTAGTTTCATATCCTTCATATTTTTGAAAGTTGCAACAAGTCTGGAAGAAGACTATGAAAGAGGCAGTAAGAGATGTCTAAGACTTTATTTTCTTCCCACAAAAGATAATATATCTCCATCTCCAACTCATCTTTTATTTTATTTATTTAATGAGTGTGTTAATTCCTATTTTTAAGAATAAAGGTGATGCACATGTGTGTGCGAATCATAGAAGAATTAAGTTAATGTGTCATACTTTAAAACTATGGGAGCGAGTTATGGAGTATAGGTTGCGGCGTGATATTAATGTTTCTCAAAATCAATTTGGAGTCATGCCGAGTAGGTCTACTATGGAAGCCATACATTTATTGAGAGGTTTGATGGAAAAATATAGAGAGAATAAAGAGGATCTACATATGATATTTATTGATTTAGAGAAGCATATGATAAAGTTCCAAGAGAAGTGCTATGGAGAGTTCTTGAAAAGAAAGGAGTTAATAATGCTTATATTCAAATCATTAAAGATATGTATGCTGGAGCTATTACTTGTGTTCAAACACAAGGTGGTTTGACCAAGTATTTTCCTATTTCGTTTGGATTACATCAAGGATCAGCCTTAAGTCCATATCTTTTTGCTTCAGTCATGGATATTCTCACTAGACATTTGCAAGAGGATGTACCTTGGTGTATGCTTTTTGCTGATGATATTCTTCTTGTTGATAAGACTAGAGAGGGTGTTGAAGGTAAACTTGAATTATGTAGGTCAACTTTAGAGTCTAAAGGTTTTCGCTTGAGTAGATCTAAAACTGAATATATGGAGTGTAATCTTAGTAGCAATAGACCTAGTGAGGGGATTGTGACTTTGGGCGATCAAGTCATTAATAAGAGTACACGTTTTAAATATCTTGGATCTATTGTTCAGAGTGATGGTGAAATTGATGGGGATATTATCAGCAAAATTCAAGTTGGATGGTTGAAGTGGAGGAATGCATCAGGCTTATTGTGCGATAGAAAAGTCCCCCTCAAACTTAAGGAAAAATTCTATAAGATAGTGAGACCTGCAATGTTTTATGGTGCCGAATGTTGGCCATTAAAAGAGAAGCATAATACTAAGTGTTGCAGAGATGAGAATGCTTAGGTGGATGAGTGGCTTGAACCTTAGAGATAGGATACGAAATGAGTATATATGTGAAAAGGTTGGAGTAGCTCCAGTGGAAGATAAGATTAGAGAGAGACACCTTAGATGGTTTGGTCACATTAAACGGAAGCTTGCCGATGACCCGGCTAGGAAAGTTGAGGTATTAGATTTGACTTATGTTAAGAAAAGTAGAGGTAGACCTAAAAAGACTTGGTTAGAAAATATTAGAAATGATCTTTCATTATTAGATTTAAATGAGAATTTGACTTTTAATCGGACGTAATGGAGAAAAAGTATTCATGTAGCCGACCCCACGTAATGGGACAAAAGCTTGATGTTGTTTTTGTTGTTATTTATTTTGCATGGGGAATGTTATGGGTTCTATTGTTCCTAGCATGAAGAAGATTACTAGGAAGCTTTTAATATTTTTTCCTTAGCCATCCAAGCTTTTAATTTTCATGTGGAATAAAAACTAAACTTTATCCTTATTACGCTAGGTTGGACTCCTTGTCAGCTTAGTTTAAACTAAGTAGTATTTGCCCAAAGCATGGTTTACCTAAATGGGTTTCAATTAGGCATGAACTAGATTCAGAAGTGTTGCTAATACCTACAAAGATTGGTTGACTTATGGATCTATGATCATTTAATATCCTCCTTCGCATTGAGTGTTATAAATCAAGTTTGCTTACAATATTTTGAATGTGGAGTTACATAGTTTCTTAGTGAGAATATATGCAATGATTTCCTATTAGCACATATGGACTACAATCTTTTTTTAGTTTCTCTTATGAAATGTTTGTCCATCTTCACATTCTTGGTGCAATCATATTTTACTAGATTATGAGCAATTTCAATGACAGATTTTTTGTCACAGATATATCTTCATTTGCAAGTTCTATTTAATTTTTAAATCTTCTAAAATAATTTTGATCCACATAAGCTCATACATTTCTTGATTAATGATTCTAAATTGAGATTCAATGCTAGATCTTAAAGTTATATGTTTCTTGCTCCTCCATTTTATGATATTCCTTTTCAAAAATATATAATATCCAATTATGAATTTTTTATCCACCGGTGATCCTACATAATCCACATTAGTATACCTTTCAATTTATAAATTATCTTGCTTTTTATAGAGAATTCATTTTCGAGGACTTAATTTAAGGTATTCGAGGATTCTATAAGCTGATTGAAGGGAAGACTCTTTGGGTTTGTGCATGAAATGGCTAATGTGACTCACTGTAAATGCGATGTATAGACGGATGCGAGGTATATAGTTTTTTGACTAATTTTATATATTTTCCATTGTCAACTTCTTTTCCTTCATCCATGTTTAATTTTTTATTTGATTCTGTTGAGGTTTCATAAAATTTATAATAATAAACTTTTTAGTAGATTCCTGACATATTTTTTGTGGAGAGAGAAATTTTCCTTATTTGGATTGAACAACTTTATTTTTCCATTGAGAACTTGAGTTTTCCTAGCTCTTTGCTATCAAATTCTTTAGTAAGCTTTTTCCTAAGAGACTTCTTTTCTCAATTATCATTAGTTTTGATAATTATATCTTTACCGTATACGATGCTAATTTAGATTTTGCAATCAATTGAGTGCTTTATGAAGCGGTTATGATTTTCTTGGCTTTTTTTGTATTCAACGTTATTAATGATTTTTTTAATTTGCCAAATCATATGCTCGAATTTTGTTAAATGCCATACAGAGCCTTTTTTTAATTTACACACTTTGTTCTGTATGAAACAAATATTAAATCCTTGTGGTGAATTCATATAAACTTCTTCAACATCCTCATATAGGAAAATATTTTTTATATCATATTGCAACATTGACCATCTATGATTGGGTACAAGATAAATTAAGATGCGTATTATTTTCATTTTCACAACATGATAAAAAGTTAGGATTGAGTATATTCCCAGGATACCAATATTGCTTTATACTAGTCTAGGTTTTCATATGCTCTATATATTATAGAAAAAATCTATTTGTATCCTACCATTTTATTCCTTTTGGGCTGTTCAGCGATTTCCCAATTATAACCGTTCTAAAATGTTCATCTTTTCTCGTATATTAATCTTCCAATTCTTGCTCGAGAGTGCCTCAATTAGAATTCGTGGTATTGTACTAAGGTTGAAGTTGATACTTGTAAAAAAAAATTTATGAGTAGGAGATAGTTTTTGAAAGATGTGAATTAAGAGATGTGATATAGAGAAGAATGTGTAGTGTTAGGTTAATCATTATCATGATAATAGTTTTGAGTCTTGAACTTTCTAGAGATTAGATTGTGCTTATTCCTTCTTGTATGGACTTGAAGGTATGCAAAATTTAGAATTTTTTGGAGCTTGTGTTATAGGAATTCCAAGATGAAAGAGTATGAGGATGCGTATGGATTACAGTATGAGGGCCTTATGAGGATCAATCCAATGGTTAAAGCCCCGGCCCGTAATTGTTATGTTCAAGGATCCTTATCAAGATTAGTTGATTTGTGGGTCTCATGATCATTCATCAATAACCAAATTCTTAAGAAAGCCTCCAATAGAGTAGATGAGTAATAAGAGAGAAATTTGTGTACAATCAATGTATAATACAGTTGTAGATACTTCATCTCCTCATGTTTTTAACCGGTTGATTATATGCTAGATGTACTTTTTCAGGTTTATGTGTACATATCCAAGTATATGTATATTTATTGTTTCATGTTTAATGAAAGTTTATGGTTTAATTTTTTTTTGAAATTAAAATTATTTTAAAAATTTAATTTAAATTATTATAATTTCTTTTAGAATGTATATCATCTCAAAACATTTCGTTACGGTTGTTTGTTCCTTTCTTGGTTCATTCGAATTGTCGTGCCAGTTTCTGTCACTTTTTATGTGGGAGGAGAATAGTATATTAAAGAAACTTTAGAACATGCTTCCTCTAGCAACTAATCATCAAGGCTTTAGTTGCTTTTAGGCATGTTCATGAATGTTTTCTTACCGTTTTGAATAAGATGATTTGCTTCAACTGAAGAAATGCTTAATGGTTTTGTTTGTCTGATTTGGCTTACAGAAAGATAATATAAGGCTTGTTGCTGGTTCTCTAGAAAGTCATAAGAATTTTCTTAGTGTTAATTGTGGTTCAAATGCATGAAGTAATAAGCATAATATGGACTTTTTGAAAGGAAGAAAAATGGATTTTTGGTTCCAACGCATTCAATTAGATCTGGTAAAGTCAACTTTATTTCTTGTAATTAAATTTTATGACATTGTGAATCCAAATATTTTTGCCAAGTTCAATGAAGGTTTTGATATTTTATCTGCAATTTGTTATTTGAAATATAATTGTCATATGTTTTATTTATTAAAGTCGGGCATATGGCCTATAGATAAGTAGTCATAACCTTAATTGCATACAAGGAGGACATAAGAATTAGGGCTATCAAAATCGGGTCACGCCAACCCGAACTGACCTGACATTGTTCGACCCGACCGGAACTAGACCCGTTTTTGCAAACGGGTCGGTTTTCTTAATCCGACCCGCTTCGGGTCCAAGTCAACCCGAACCCAACCCATTTTGGGTATGTTTTACTAAATTTTTTTTATTTAAACCTAAATCAAATTAAGGTAAGATTTACTTCAATCAATTTAAAATAAATATAACTTAATTTAATTTGGGCAACAATGTTTATTATTTTTTAGAAATATAATTTATTTATTTCTTAACAATCTTTTAAAATCCTCCTAAATTAATTAAAAACGGGTCAAATCGGGTTGATTTCGGGTTTCGGGGTCAACCCGAACCCAACACGGTTTTACAAACGGGTTGAAATTCCTAACCCGAATCCGACCTGGTTCGGGTTCGACTTGACCGAACCCGAAGTTTTCGGGTCGGGTCAAATATTGAAACCCATAATAAGAATAGTTACAAATCAAATTTTATGCATGGAGCTGGTGAATTTTTAGTTTAAAAGAGGTTACAAATTGGACTAGAACCTAACGGAGACATTCTCTCACAAACACCCCATTTTACTGATGTAGTGGTGATTCCATCCTCTGATTGCTGCAATTTGACTGAGGTAAACTGCCAGTTCTGTGATTCGATGGAGACTATACAAGAAGCTGGGAACTTGGGCAAATCATGTGTAACTCCGATAAAGCTACCATATATTTATTGAGTCTTTTAATACAGAGCAACTCCATATATTTTGACATGGATGTTTTTGCTACCAGATATGCAGAAGTTTCATGGCTGGCTCCTCTCCATAACTCTGATTGCTGAAATCCAAGCTGCTTCAGAGCTGAGCAAGCAAAGCCTTGTTCTACTGGAAAATATCCCCGTGCATAGTAGAACCCCTGGATCATTTTAACTTTTGTTTTTAGCAGTTTTTGCTTCGGAATCTGTTCGTTACTTATTGCAGTGCATTTTCACTGGAAACTATTGTTAAAAAGAGCTGGTGGGGTTTTATATCATGCAGTTCTGTCTCTCGGTCTAAGATAGGGTTGCCATTTTGTTCCCTGCTTCTGATTGCAACTACAGGTGCTACAAATCCTGCAAGCCGGATTTAAATTTAATTAAGATCAAAATTTATAATGAATTTATTTTAAAATGAGTATAATATAAATTTTAATTAATTAATTGTATATTTTATTTGTTGCGTCTTGAAATATTCACGGCGATAGAGAGAGATAGTTTAGTATTTTAGTTTTGTACGAAGATCCAATGCACAAATAGATAAAAGAGTTGGAGTGTAGCGTTCATAAGAGGCACCAGAGTTTTTACGTGAAAACCCCTAAAAAAGGGAAAAAACTATGGGGCCTTGCCCAATTTAAATGAATCCACTAGTGTTTGCAGTTGATTACAAATGAGGCCTTTCTTTGGGGGGAAGGTATTGGCTTGATGTAGCAAATCTACATCATATAGTGTACATTACATAATGGGAGTTGGAAGAATGTTTTGACATGTTCGTTTGGTCGGCATGACCATAGTCGACAAGCGATGGAGGTTGGAAGGACCTTAATCGGGTGACGGAGGTCGGAAGGACCGTATTTGGGTGACGGAGGTCGGAAAGGCCGTATTTGGGTGACGAAGGTCAGAAAGACCGTAGTCGGGACCGTTGTTGGCAGGCAACGGAGGTCAGAAAGACCATAGTTGGTGATGATGGTCAGAATGATCGTAGCCGATGGGCAACGAAAGTCGAAAAGACCTTAGTCGGGCGGCGGTGGTCAGAAGGATTGTGGTCAGTAAGCAACGAAGGTCAGAAAGATCATATTTCAGTGACAGTTGTTGGAAGGATTATAGTCAGTGGGCGATGGAGGTTGAAAAGACCGTAGTCGGGCGACAGAGGTTGGAAGGACCATATTCGGTGGACGACGGAGGTCAGAAAGACGATAGTTTGGTGACGTTGGTCGGAATGACCGTAGTCGGTAGGCGACAGAGATCATAAAGACCATAGTCGGGCAACAGTTGGTGGCCGGGCAGAAGTCAGACGATGGTCGGTGGCCGAGCGTAATCCAGCGTTAGTTGGTGGTTAGGTGGGAGTCCGACGACAATTAGTGGTCGAGTTGAAGTTCGGAGACAGTTGATGGCTGAGTAGAAGTTTGGCGACTTTTGGTGGCCTGGTGTAAGTCCTGCGACAGTTGGTGGCCTAGCGGAAGTGATGCAATCAAAAAATATAGGGGACCCTATATTTGTTGATCACAAAGAAGTCAAAGACACACTAAACTTGCTTCACTTAGAGAAGAAGGATACAAATGGAGTGGCACTTGCGGAGAGACGAAAGATGTTAGAAGCCAAGACGAAAGGTTGGAAATAGCTCACAAGATTTCTGGAGGGGATGAGAAAAAAGACAGACAAAGCTCACAAGCTTTTCCAATGAAACCCGTAGGTTTACATTTCCAAAAATCACATATCATTCACCATTTTTAAAACATAACAAGCCCCTCATATTTATAGGTATGAAAGGGGAATACAAACTAATAATGAGCTAACCCTTAGTTCAATAAGTGAACTAAAGACCAGCTCATAAATGAGTTAAAATTTCAGCTTAATTTTATTTGAGCTTGTAAACTCGAGGGAGGCCAAAATTGATTTATTTTGGACATGAGTTGACCCCCCTTTGTTTACATCAGGAAGTCCGGCGAAAGTCCGACGATGGTCGATGGCCGGGCGGTGGTCGAGGAGCCGGTGGCAAGAGAACTCTAATTTATCTTTTCTTCTTCCTCTCTTTCTTCTCCTTGCTTCCTCTCTTACTTCTCTTCCTTGTTTCCTCACCCCTTCAGTGAAGAATGAATGGTATATTTATAATTTTCTAGAAGTGACATGTCTATTAAATATAGAGAAGATTAAGGGTACATTGGGAGTGGTTCGAATGGACGACCAATATAGATTCTCTTGATCATGGACTGTTTATCGAGTATTTAAGTGCCTTAATGATGTCAGAATTCAACGATCTTGGACTCAATGGATTCGTCTAGTCGAGCCACTTGATTCGACTATATGCATGCCACGTTTGGAAATCGTTTGGTTGTTTTATTTATGGTTTGAACCTTCCAAATGCGCTTCGGGTCTTCGATTTGGACCCATTTAGGCTTGGATTGGGTCGAATTCAGCGTAGTTAGGTTCTTCTTTTCAAGATGTTCAGTTTGATAATAAGTTTGTTGAAATTGAAGTTTGGATGGTCTTGAATTTAATTTTGAAAGTTTCTAACTTAAATTTGCCTTGAGATTCGTACCTGATCAAGATAATTTTTGGATGATATATTACTTGTCCTTTTTTGGGACGTCGAAGCTCTAGAAGTTCGAAAATATGTTACAACTTTTGAGAAATTTTCGATGTGATTCAAAACTTGAGAACAACTAGATCGTGAATATAGAGCTCCCGATTAGCTTAAAAAGTTTCAAAATTGTGTCTGTAACAAAAAACGGTCTCAGAGAGCCTAAAAATGCCTGAATTGAAATGTCATGGCCAAAAATCTCGAACGTGACTTGGCGGCCGAATCGACTGGCCGTTGCCGCCATGTGCTTCTCAGCTTGCCCGCACGTTTGGGCTCGCGTTGTTCCGGTGTTGTGTGCCGCTTGGTGAGCCAATTGTAGCTACAACTGCAGTTTAGTTTTTTTTACAACAATTGTTTTCTTTTTTTTTACATCAATTTTTCTTTTTTTACCATAAAATTTTCCACTTTTAGAAATATTTGTAAGAATATTCTTATTCCTTAAGAATTCTTTTAATATTCTTAGAATATTATTATTCCTTGGGGAATATTCCTCCTCTCTTTATACCTATAAATACCCCCCTAGGGGTAGAGAAAATTGTAACTTCTTCTTCACACTTCTTCCTCTAATTTTCTTACAGTATAGACCTTCCACTGTTTTGAATAGATGATATCCCCTATCAAGTACAAGTGCTCCTCTTTGTGTAGAATGAACTTTTTCCTCATTCCATCTTCTTCTCTTATGAATTTCTTTTAACATTAGAGACATTCCACTGTTTGAGATAGGTGACATACTCTATCAAGCTTCAGTGTTCCTCTTTTGTGTAGAAGTCTCAATGAGAGTATACTCTTTCATTAGACCATCCATGATAGAATAAAATTAACTTCCTCTTGCATGAGGGGGTGATTTGAAAAGATTTGACTGTAATTGCACCTGGGAAGAGAACCAATGATTGTTAGTAGACGAATTGAATTTTGACGATGATTGAGCAGAAGTCCGACAATAGTCGGCGGCAGGGTGGAAGTTCAGTGGTGATCGATACTTAGGTGGAAGTCCGACAGTTAAATGGAAGTCCAATGGTAAACATCAGGCGAAGGGCTGATGGTGGTGATGGTCAAGTTGCATCCTATTTAAGGAAATATGCATTCATACTGATGGAGGAAGACATCAGACATCCCTGATGAAAAGGGTCAAAGCAGTGTGCCATGTTAGGAGTCTAGTTACACACTAGAACAACAACATCAAGCCTTTGTCCCACTACGTGGGGTCGGATACATGAATCCTTTTTCGCCATTGTCCAGTTAAAAGTTAAATTCTCATTTAAATTTAATAAAGAAAGATCATTTCTAATATTTTCTAACCAAGTCTTTTTAGGTCTACCTCTACCTTTTTTAACATAAGTCAAATCTAATACCTCAACTTTCTTAATCGGGTCATCAGAAGGCCTCTATTTAATGTGACCAAACCATCTAAGGCGACTCTCTCTAATCTTATCTTCCACTGGTTACACACTAATAGTGCCAATTTTGTGCAGGCCTGATAGTTATCAGGTTAGAATCTTTTTTTAAGAAGAGGTTGAAGGAGATGATTCAAAGTGCAGTAGATAAGAGGTCGGTAGAATACTCCAATGATGTTTGACATTTTTAAAGTTGTTTGTTAGAACGTTGCTCGATAACATTAACTTGTATGGACAAGGTTGAGAGAATCTACCAAGGATGTTTGATCTATCTAAAATTATTTGCCAAAATATTGCTTGATGACGTTAACCTGTGTAAAAGAGGTCAGAAGAATCTACCAAGGATGTTTGATATATCTGAGATTGTTTGTCAAAGCGTTGCTCGATGACATTAACATGTGTGAAAGACGTCGAATGAGTAAATCAAGGATGTATGACTAATCCAAAATTATTTATCAGAGTATTGCTCGGTGACGTTAACTTGTGTGGAAGACGTCAGGAGAATCCACCAAAGATGTTTGACCTATCCAAGATTGTTTGTCAAAGCATTTCTCGATGACGTTTACGTGTGTGGAAGAGGTCAAGGGAATCCACCAATGATGTATGATCAATCCAAAATTATTTGTCAGAGTATTTCTCGATGATGTTAATCTGTGTGGAAGAGGTCGAAAGAATCCACCAATAATGTCTATTTGAGATTATTTGTTAGAGGATTTCTCAATGATGTTAACATTTATGGAAGAGGTCGATAGAATCCACCAAGGATGTATGACCTATCCGAGATTATTTATCAGAGCGTTACTCGTTGACGTTAATCTGTATGGAAGAGATCGAATCAAATCCCCCTGGGATCAGTTATGCCTTGACTGGGAGGGAGTAAATGCCATGTGTATCCCGAATCAAAGGTGAAAAATGATTTATCTTTATACCGTTACTGCCTTTTTGAGGTCGAGGTTAATACCTTGACCAAGGATTAAAAGTCCAGCTAGGGACTATATAGAGCTTGAAATTTATTAGAAGCATCATTCAATTTTTTAGGGGTTCTATGACAAATGGTTTTCCAAGATATTGTCTTGGATGTTAAAGGAGTTGGAGGAATTTTGTTGGCCACGATTACAATTAAGGTTACCCTCAGTTCACATTTGATTTCCATGAAATTGATGTAGTAATAGCTGATGTCATGATGTTGATATGAACGATCTTTCGAGAGTGGAGCAATAGTTGCCCCCCTCCCCAAGTCAGGAACTACATTCCCATAGATATCACCAAACTGTTGCATCTTGGAATATTCGTGGTGATAGAGATATATATAGTTTAACATCTTAGCTTTGTGCGAAGATCTAACACACAAACATATAAAAGAGTTGGAGTGTAGCGTTCATAAGAGACACTAGAGTTTTTACTTGAAAATCCCTAAAAAAGGAAAAAAAAATCACAGGGCCTTGCCCAGTTTAAATGAATTCATAAGTGTTTGGAGGTGATTACAAATGAGGCCCTTCCTTGGGGGTAAGGCCTTGGCTCGATGTAGCAAAGATACATCATATAGAGTGTATTACATCATGGGAGTTGGAACAATCAACGTTGACATGTTCGCTTGATCGACATGACCATAGTAGGTGAGCGATGTAGGTTGGAAGGACGTAGTTGGGCGACGAAGGTCAGAAGGGCCGTAGTCTAACAACGGAGGTCAGAAAGATCGTAGTCAGGCGACGATGGTCAGGAGGACCGTAGTTGGTGGGCGATGGAGGTCAGAAAGACCGTAGTTAGTGATGATGGTCAAAATGACAATGACCGTTGTTGGTGGGCAACGGAGGTCGAAAAGATCGTAGTCGGGCGACGGTGGTCGGAAGAACCGTAGTCGGTGGGCATGGAGGTCGAAAAGATCGTAGTTCGGTGACGGTGGTTGGAAGGACTGTAGTTGGTAGGCAACAAAGGTTGTAAAGGCCATAGTCGTGCGACAGTTGGTGGCCAGGCAGAATTCCGATGATGGTCGGTGGCCAGGCGTAGATCCGACATCAATTGGTGATTGGGCTGACATCTGACGACAATTGGTGGTCAGACAAAAGTTCGTAGACAGTTGATGGCCATGAGGAAGTTCGACGACTTTCAGTGGTCGGGTGTTAAGTTCGGCGGAAGTCCAATAATGGTTGATGTCCGGGCGGTGGTTGAGGAGTCAGGTGGCTAGAAAACTTTGATTTCTCTTCCTCTCTTCCTTCTATTCCTTGCTTCCTCTCTTCTTTCTCTTCCTTGCTTTCTCCCACCTTCAGTGAAGAATGAAAGGTCTATTTATAATTTTTTAGGAGTGTCATGACCTGTCAATAGAGAGAAGATTAAGGGCACATTCGGAGTGGTTCGAATGGACTACCGATATAGATTATGTTGATCATAAACTGTTTATCGAGTATTTAAGTGCCTTAATGATATCAGAATTCAACGATCTTGGGCTCGTTAGATTCGTCTAGTCGATCTATTCGATTCAATTATATGCATGCCACGTTTGTAAATTGTTTGTTCGTCCAATTTTTGTTTGAACCTTCCAAATGCACTTCGGGTCTTCGATTTGGACCCATTTGGGCTCGGATTGGGTTGAATTTGGTGTCGTTGGGTTCGCCTTTTCGAGATGTTGAGTTCGACAATAAGTTTGCTGAAATCGAAGTTCGGATGGTCTCAAATTTAATTTCGGATGTTTCCAACTTAAATTTGTAGATTCATGCCCAATCAAGATAATTTTTTGATGATATATCAATATTCATTTCAAAATAATTTTAATGATAATAAAATTCATTCTGGTTAAATTTGAGTCAGAATATCTTAATTCAAAATTTCTCCCTTTAACTGCCCTTCAATTGAATCAAATTTTTTGTATGAGCACAGATTTTCTTATATACACTAATGATCTTGTTTCTCTGACCTTAGCTTTATTGCATGTGTATCTCAGCAAATGGATTTGATATTTATGAGGACATATTTAATTCACTATTAATTGCATTTGGATTTCTACTTTGAAATTCTTACTCTTAAATTAGCAACTTCATGTAGATAGAATAATGTTGTATTTGAAGAAAGGTTTTGTACAAGTTTAAACATCTGCTGCATTAAAAAAAAAAGCTTTTGCTCATAATGAAATTATTGTGCAGTTAACATAATATTTGAAATTTGTATGTTGTCCTTGTACATGAAACATGAATATAATTTTCCTCGTTCATCTTCTGGTATATTCATGCTGGTTTACTGATATTCTGCAATTACAGATAGAAGAAGAGTAGGTTTGCATTGTAAAAATATACTAACCTTTAGATTTTTAACTGTCTTTATAAACAGAAAAAAAAGAGAGGAAACGGAATAATTACAATAACAACAACAACATCAAGCCTTCAGGCTTTATCCCATTATGTGGGGTCGGCTACGTGAATCTTTTTTCTTTATTGTGTCCAGTTAAGAGTTAAATTCTCATTTAAATCTAATAAAGAAATGTTATTTCTAATATTTTTTAACCACGTATTTTTTGGTCTACTTCTATTTTTCTTAACATAAGTCATTGGAAGACCACCGTTTTATGTGACCAACATCTAAGACGACTCTCTCTAATCTTATCATTCACTAGAGTAACTCCAACCTTTTCACGTATATACTCATTTTGTATCCTTTCTCTAATGTTTAAGTAAATAAAAATCAGAATATTTTTCCTACAGTCTATTGAATTTGAAAACATAAAAAAAAAAAAACAGCATTTGCATTGCATTTCAATAGCTCTAATCAAGTGGAAAAACTATCTCACGCCAATTTTATTCAAAAAATATGTCACAAAATGGCCTCATGACCCTTTCTCTTGTGTCTGAAGTTCTGCAATCTGTACATACTCTCAGTAATGAATCAAGTAGAACTCTCTCTCAATTTCTTGTAGTTAGGAGAACTCTAGAATCTTTCAAGGCTTTTACATAAAGACTTACATTCCCAGAACCTTCAAAGAGCTCTTCAAAGTCAGTTGTTCTCAGCTCCAATGTCAATGACACAATGGGCAAGTTGATTCGCCTCTTTCTTAGTGCTGAAAAAGATATGTCATGCATCCACCTGTGCAATTTACAACTGATATTAGAATCTTAATTTTCATTAGTCATCACCAGCCGGTATTCTTTACTTTCTTATCTTTTCTAGTCCTTTGACATTAATTTTGCCGACCCATCTTATTAATTCATTTTCACTCTTCACTATACATGTCTAAATCACATAATCTTATTTTTCAATACCTTATCTTCAATATATATAGGCTTCGTTTGGGATGGCTTTCTTACTACTTCTTAAAGCAAATTTTTAATACAAAATTTTTAATTTTTATACTAAAAAGTTAGTTCAAGAGGCAGTAAAAAAGCTGTCCCAAACAAAGTCATAATAACTTTGATCATCCATTTGGTATAACAAAACTCAATCTATTTTTTCTAATTTTGCACATGTTCATTTTAAAATTCTCATTTCTATCATTTAAATATTAATGATTTTCTTACTACCAAAAATTCATATTCACGAAAAGATTAATGGCATATTATATATTTTACCTCAATTTGTTGATCCATCATAACCTTGAAACCGAAACAAATGATGTGTAGTTAATATGCTTACCATGTACTCCTGTTCCAAGCACTTATCAGCACAATCTGTGATCTCAACAATCTTGTGGTAGTGTCCATTCTTTAGATCCCAAATGTCCTTAAGAGATGGAATGATGATGGAATTGATGTTCTCAGATGCATCATTGTGAAGTTTCAGATAACCTGTGGATTATATGAATCCAATGAAAACAAAAAAAAAGAAAGAAAACTTCCATCAATAAGGCTAAAGATCACTATCCAAGAAAGTGTGGCTATTTGTTCAAAAACATGTGAGAGATGAATCTCGAAGCTCACAGTTAAACGAGGAATGAAGATTCTTGCTGCAAACATCAAAGTCCTCAAGTGAAGTTGTGGCTGTAGAAGAAAAGTTAGCTCGTAGTAGCTGATTGACCTCCATTCCATTCCTATCCAAGAAAATGTGGAGTGTGATTTAAGAATCAAAGCTAAAACCTTGATATTTTATATAAAATGTTAGATCTTAGGAAAGGAGAAAAATGGTTATGAAATAGTTAAAGGAAAGAAATAGTAGATCTTGAAACTTAGGAATGGTAATGATGAATAAAGTGTTATGAGTTGAAGTGAATATGCCAAGAAAAGATGAAAGTGTCATTTCGATAACTTGTGTAATGGGAATTTTATGGGAAAAGTAATCTAGTTGATTATCAGACAATATGACCAGGGAAGGGATTATAGTTTCAATTGAGATATTTTTTATTTGTAAGATCACTTTTGAAGTATTTGCTAGATGAGAGACTTATGATTAATAGAATATGATAGTAATTTCATTGAAGGTAAAATTCATTTAGCGTTGCTTAATTATGATGAAAGATCATGTGAAATATAAGTATGATGAGCTTAACTACATTGGCTCTATCATTCAATACAATGAGGATATAGAAGCATGTAACTTCTTGAATATTAAAAAAAATGAAGAAATAACTAAAGAGTGCAATGCAATAATAGATTAAGGAGACTTCCCAAAGTTTTAGAAATCTATAATTGGACTAACCATGCTTTCTGAACTTGAATATGAAAAATAGATAAACCATTGCAAACTAAGTTAATGAGAGGTTAAGATATAAATGTGATAAATATAAGAAGAATATTGTAATAAATAATTATATTATAGAGATAATGAGAGTATCACTCATTAAAAATAATATGCCGAAAAAAAAGTTGGCAAAATTGCAACAATTTTGCATACCTTACAATCGATTCCATTGATGATATGGTCGCTCTCCCCAAGCTCAACAAGCAATCCTGAGCATTTTCCCATAGTAGTGAATCCATTTCAGCCTTTTGTATGCTGCAAACCATAGGGAATGTCCGAAGATTAGGATGCTATTAGGCTTCAAATTCATTTATATACAAAAAGTTTGCACCTGCAAGTGATATTGATGACCATACCAATCTTTCAGACCTTCTTCCAAGCTGCATCTTCTGCTTTCCACTGCAACAATATCCTCTTGGTAATTATTTTCAGTTTCCTCCATGTAAAGCTTCCATTGCTCTTTAGTCAATGATGTTAAATTTTGAGCATTAGATATTTCTTTTTGTAGATTAGTTGCTCTATCAGCAGCACTTTCTCTAAGAATGTCAAATGCTGCTTGAACCTATAATAAAATGTCAATGGTAAGATGAATAAAAACAATTTATTAAGATTATTATTAAGATGCATTCTCAAACAGTCTCGTGCTAGTAAGAATGTGACATTGGTCCTCTGATCGGCGGTTTGGTCGGATGGCTCTGTAAAAACCTGTTGTTTGGCCAAATGGCTCCGCATGGTTAACGATTACGACTGTGACCCTCTAACCTAGTGAATTGGTCTAATGACTCTACTGTATTATGGTTACGGTCAAGCCTGTGCGCTCCCCAATGGCTTCAAATTTTTGAGATATGAATCAATAAGATGTAATCGATAGGGCACAAAGCCTTATGTAAACTAATGTGGATTCATATTTATCCCCTTAGACAAAAACTCATCCTAGGTCTATAAGGTTCCCTTGGACGATGCAACCCATGGCTACCGACAAGAATCCTTCTATTAGGTTGAGTTGACTACCTCCTTTGACTAAGTATACTAAGGATCATAATGACCCGAGATGACGGAACCATGGGATCTTGATTGGGCTCATCATCATTCCCCCATCATCAACTTTAAATGCAAGGTGGTGAATTTATGATTTTAAAGGAGCTAATGTCTGGTAGAGAATATTATTAAGATTCATTCTTAAACAGTCTCGAGCTAGTAAGAATGTGACATTGGTCCTCTGATTGGCGGTTTGGTCGGACGGCTCTGTAAAAACCTGTTGTTTGGCCAAATGGCTCAGTGTGGTTAACGATTAAGACTGCGACCCTCTAACCTAGTGAATTGGTCTAATGACTTTATTGTATTATGGTTACGTTCAAGCCCGTGCGCTCCCCAATGGCTTCAAATCTTTGAGATATGAATCAATAAGATGTCAATAAGATGTAATTGATAGGGCACAAAGCCTTCTGTAAACTAATGTGGATTCATATTAGTCCCCTTAGACAAAAACTCATCCTAGGTCTATAAGGTTCCCTTGGACGATGCAACCCATGGCTGCTGACAAGAATCCTTCTGTCAGGTTGGGTCAACTACCTCTTTTGACTAAGTATACTAAGGATCATAATGACCCGGGATGATGGAACCATGGGATCTTGATTGGGCTCATCATCATTCCCCCACATTCAACTTTAAGTGCAAGGTGGTGAATTTATGATTTTAAATATTAAATTTTCAAATACCAAACTCATGCTACTACTATACACCAAATACTATGTATCTGTTTGACGACTAGCCTTAATCGAAAGTTCTCTTTCGTTACCAGGAGGGGTAATTAATTATATAGGCTTGCGCCTATAGGAAACTAGAACTTAGATCATGAAGTTCTCGCAAAATGAGGGAGAAATCTCTGGGTAGTGTATTATTTCAAACTCAATATACCTTCTAAAAATTTACCTCATAACCTAATTTGTTAAAACTCTCCCGAAAAAGGGGAGGCCGAGGTGCAAATTTTCGAAGCTCACAACCACCCGGTCAAAAGGACCCGATCATAACTATTTACCTGTGATACCATTTGGCAGCGAAACCACTGGTTAGAGGACACATGTCACATCCTTACTAGTAAGAGACGAATTAAGAATGAATCTTATTTATATTCTTGACCAGTCATTTGTTTTTTGTAAGTTGAAGTAATTTTCAAGTTTGTCCACCTTGACAAACTGTTGCGAAAGGTGGATGGACATTTGTTTTAAGTGTTTATGTGTTTTTTATTTCAATTTTTAAATATTTTAGGTTTTGGTGATTTTTTAGTTTTGAATTTTCATGAGAATTTGAGAGAAATTTTCAAATATTTGGGGTCCTCTCTGATTGAGATTTTCTATCAATACGACCATCATTGGAGTTATTATGAGAAATTTTACTTGATCGGTTGAACCTTGTCAACTTTGTCTATTTGCCAACTGAAGATTGGGTTCGTTGTCGGTTTTATGTCTTTATTAGTGATTTTTTTTTGCAATAGACCTTGAAGGCTTAATATAAACGTTAAAAATAAATATCTCGGTTGGCGCCACAACTGTACATTCACTTGATGATTCGAGCCGTGTCTCGATTTACACGTTGTTACCTCAATTTGCATGTCATTTCCCCAGTTTGAGGGTCGTCGACTTTCGATCCCCGTCGATTTCCCCACGTGAATTTTGCTAGGCAAAATTACAATTACTTTTGGGTATTGTCCGCATTTCAAACGTAACGACGAAGTTCGTTTTGCGATTAGACGTCATTTGGGTAACGTCGCGCCTCATTTTTGGGTGTCGGTCGCCAATTTTAACTGTTTTCGCCCGATTGGACTGCGAGGTAGTTCCTCTTGGGTAAATTCGATGCCCTGATCACAACGTCGCAATCCGTTCAGTGATCAGAGGCTATTTAACTACTTAAGTAACGTGTCGTGCCCGCTGGCTGTCGCTTAAGTCACCAATTTTGCATCTTTTTCAAGTTGTTAGTGTATGGGTCAATATGGACTTCAGTATAAAGGCAAATAGGATGGCCAAAGCAATTAGTTTGCCGACTATCAACATAGTTCATATACCTAATGGGTCACATCATACCATCTTAAGAGTAGCCGATTTTCATTTAAATGATCCAAATTTGAGTAGTTGTAAACAGGTCAAGCTTATTTTGATCCAAATCTACAAACAAACTTAATTTTTTATTGGGTGGATAAATATTATGTTTGGAACTATACTTTTATTTGGCTGCAATTTTCTTATTATTTTTTAGAAATTTTAGCCGCAAGAAGTAACTTTCGCAATTAGATCTTATATTGTGTGGTAGATATAATAAATTTATTGTCTGTATTTTTGGTTAGAAAAAAAATACTATAATACTAGCAACATCTTTTAAAAATTTCATTTCTCACAAATTTTATGGATAACTAGAGCTATCCTAAATAAACCCTAAAGCATTTGAAAACATAAAAGACTTAGTGCTATCAACGATGATTGGCTACAACTCTCCCAAACAAACTCTTTAGCGGTTGATAATAGTGTTTAAGTGCTACAGTGATGAGTAAAAAAAGAATGCTAAGTTTTTACCAGCTTTTTCTGCTTTGTTTTTGAAGTCATCAGCATCTGCACCACCTTCTTTACCAATCGGTTTTCTTCATAATCGGCACACTCCTGTAAGAATAAGATTAATTAAGAAGAAAATTGACCTTTGTATAGTTAACCATTGCAAAAGAAGATCACCTCGAACTTCCTCTCCAGCTCACTTAATTGTTGGTACTGTGAAGTCTTTGTTTCTTCCAAGATTTTGCTCAATCTAGATATAAGAACTTCTACATTATGGAAATAACTACTGACAGTATCTGAAATGGCACGTGTTGCCTCCACAGTTCTTAAATTTCTCTGTTTTAGTTATCACAAGTTTGAAAGTGAGCAAAGTTCACAGAATAAAAGCACCAGAGAGTTTGTTTGTTTCCATTAAAAGCACCAACCTCATGTTGCAGCTGTACAAAATCGGTCAGTTTGAATTTTTGTTTTGAGAGGTTATTTTGAAGATCTTTAAGCAAATAATCTGCCTCGAATGCAATTCTTTTAAAGCACTGTCGCAGAACGAAGATATCAAACCTAAGGAAGTAGTTGTTGAACAGAAAATTGCAGGAATATGAAGGAATTCTTACATCATCTAGAGAAGTAGAATGTGTTAGTACTTGTGAATACAATTTCCCAAAAGTTACTTGAGAATTGTGATCTAGTTCTCCTGCCAAACCATCCAATGTTGTAATATCAGATTGATAAAGATCTTTCAATTTATCAACCAATCCTTCAAGTTCTTTAGTAGCCTGGGTACAAAGTGAACTCAATGAGTAAGATTCAGATTTATGAACGTTTTAGATATAGCTTTCCTATATTCTTTTAAAGCATAAAAACAAGGCAATTTGATAATTCTGATATAAAATAGTATGTTTTATCATTTTATATGTGTTTACCACAGCCTTCACAGATATAAATGATTGCATGTCTTCTTCTATTTCTTTTAGTTGGTTCTTTTGTTGCATCACAGAAGTTGAGACAGTTTTATGCATAGTATGAAGCTGTTCAGTCAACTGCGATTGAAACCTCTGCACAATGATTTGGTTCCTCTCTGCTATATTATCTTTATGTTCTGAAAATCAACCACACTTGATTATATCATTATAAAATATTATCTGGTTTGATCTTCTGAATGAACAACATAAAATAAATATAACTTAATAGAAAACACTTGAGTTCTTCAATACTAACCGATTTTACAGAATAATTCAGACCTATCAGAAGCAGCAAAATCTAGCTCAGATCTAAGACAATTGGCGTGCTCAACAAGTACTCTCTCTAGAAGGAATGAGGTAGAAAAATCACTGAGTTCTCAAAAGCTTGAAGAAAGAGTAGTACTGCAATTAACTAACCTGAATGAAGCATCTGCATTATCAAATGCTCTTTTTCTCTTATTGCGTACTTTGCCTTTTGATATTGTTCTTCTTGATCGAGTATCACCTTTTCACATCCTTTCAATTTATTCTGGGCCAGAGGCATATACAAAATGGAATTTTATTGCTTTTCAACGGCTAGAAATAGATGCAAAGGCCGTAAATATTATACCTGACTATTTTCAATTTTTTCAATTAACTCTGCAGTCAAATGTTGTTGAGAATCATGGAGTTCTTGAAGCACAATTAATTGCTGGTATTAGTATCATATCAAGGTTAGAGCTTCTCTGAAAATAAACTTTGAGAATTGATCAAGCTATAGAAGACACCTTATCTTTGGACTCCAATTCTACTTGTATGTGCTCCATTTTCTCGGCCATGTCCTGAATTAGTACATAAGAGCTACTTGATTATTTAAATATTGATGAAATAATGTAGTTGTTGGTAGAAGTTATATTACATCACAACCTTCTTTTCTCCTTCTTGAAGGAAGATATTCCCCGGAATATACATGTCTTTTTTCTCTCTTGTAGTAATTACTTCTGCACAAGAGGTGATATATATGTCACAAAAAAATGCATAATCATACTAAGGATTCAACTTAGAAGTTTCATTACCAAATTATTAAGGGTGAATCTAAGAAATTTTTTTTGAGTTAATGCAACATGATAAAAGTTTAGCTTTATCTTCCGAAGGGGTACAATGTTTTGTTGCAATTTCTTTATCTACATTTTGGCTCTTTGACTTGTTCCTATTTTTTGCAATTTTTTTATCCTATGTCATAAAATAATGAGAATTGAGGGATAGACCCAGTCACCCAATCAGACAAGTTAGTAAGGGATGGCCAAGAAAGTGAGGGCATCCCCTTCCATCTGACTTTCATTAAATCCACCTATGTTTTTGTTAGGCAGCCCTGCAAGGCCCTGTTCTCTGCTACAGGCGAAGGACCAAACAACCCCCTTTGAGGGATTGCCGCCAAAGCCTAAGTGGGCCCACTTGGCAAGCCAATTGGGAAAGAAGTAGGGGGCGGCTATGAGAGGTAGGGAAAATTTGAATTCAGTATTTGAAATTAGGGAAATATGTATTAAATATTAAGAGTTGTTTAGGGTTAGGGTTATGCATATTTTTGCTGGCTAATTTGAGAGTTCTTGTTCTTGGAGCATTGGGCCCTAAATTCCTCTAGGGATTGGGAGAGAAGATCCTCCTCTCGAATTGAGGATCAATTACATCTTCCTTCGTTTTGTCGTTCAAGTTGAATTACTTCAATCAAAAGTGCTGTTTTGCTGAAATTTCTCTTCCAAATTCGTGTTATTTGCTGTTTGCTCCTCTCTTATTCGGATTCACTTGAATTCTTGAAGTATTTCTTAATAGTTTTCTATGATATGAACTCTTGACCTTCAAGCCACAATGGAGACAGCTTAATCTATTATAATCCCTCTCTTTAGGAATTTGTCTTAAGAGTTGAAACATCAAACTTGCTTAAGACTAAGAAGCTGATGGAAGATTGTGTGCGTGAGAGAGACACAGAGAGGGAGGGAGGGGGAGAGAAGATTTCATATTCACAAACCTTTTTTAAGACGATCAATCTCACAGTATAAATCCTTCATCAGTACAGATTTCATAATTTTTTGATTGATCTGCAAAATAGCAATATCATAACAAAGTCAGACTTGTGATCACCTACACTGTCAAATAACAAATTTCCATGAGGTAACAAACCTCTGGTTTATTCTTGATACTTCTTGCACGATGAGCATATTCTAATGTGCTAAGTGTCTCTTCCAAACACTGAATCGAAGGTGAAATGTTTGCAATGATGCAAGCCTTGGTTTTTCCTCCCAAGGAATCCCTCAACAATCTTGTCAACTTACTATCTCTGACAAATTCGAAACAGAAATAGACAAATTCCTAGAGTTGACTAACAACATCAACAAAATGCATCAAGCTATGAATTTGGCCATAAAATATGTTGTAAGTTTTCACTTCAATTACCTGTAAGGAATATGGCTGGATTCCTCAACAAGTGCGTTAATAACACGACCAAGTGTAAGCAAACTTCTATTTATCTCTCCAGCTTCTCTTGCTCTGCCCTGCATTCATATAACTTCAAGCTACAATTTTCTGCTTTTTCCATTTGCTGAAACTCATAAAGGTAATAATTTTCTCTTGAAGAACAGGCTAGTTTTACCCACCTCTACAGAACCTGATCTTAAAACATTCACTGAACCAGCTAAATCCACAAGATTGAGCTTTCCAGTTTTGATCACTTCTTCTCCTTCTTGAGTAAACTTTTTGAGGTGAATTGTGATTGAAAATATGGAGTGAGAACGACTGCTTCGCTTGTTTAGTAGTGTTTCAACAGTCTGCCTTCTTGCGCTAGTTTTGTCTAATATTCTGTATATTTCATCCGCAGAACGGACTATCTCCTCTTCCATTCCTTTCACAAAGACACCTCCTTTTCCATCTTCCATTAGAGCTATAGGTTTCGTCAACTTATCATCTGATGACTCCCACTCATCAGGAGCCAGAAGATCTATTATTTCCTCATTATAAATCTCTAGAAGAGAAACTTTCATACTGTATTCTGTGAATTCTGCTTCAAGTTCTTCAAAAATTTGCTGAACTGACCTTGGAATTACACCTGCGTCACTGGAGAATTCCCCGTTCTAAAAAAAAAACTGATAATCAGTTCATAAATGCTAGATATGATAATTGAAGAACTAAAGAAACGATGAAAAACAATTACAAGAAGAACCTTTGTCTTTTTCTCTCCTTCCATGGTGTAAGTCTTTCCTGAGCCAGTCTGCCCGTAAGCAAAAATTGTGCAGTTAAAGCCTTGGAGAACTTCGCTAACCATAGGAGAGATAGACTGAGAGAATAAGTCCATTTGTTTGGCTGTGGGGCCAAAAACCTACGTAAAATCATTAAAAAAAAAAACTCTAAGATCAATTTGAGTAGCATCAAACGATCTGGCTAAACAATTATTAAAAGCTGCATGAGATTCCTGATGACTGATGGAGAAACTTTCATACAGAACGTAGCTATAAAAGGATTATCACTAACTATGGGAGCAAGAGCCACCCCTGCTGACTCCCTGGTTCCACTATCGTCATCTAATCACATTTTTTTATCTTCATTCTAGGCTCTAGCTGAAATGTTTTTTTTACCTGAATTTCCAATTATCATTGCAAACTCTTCTGATTTGTTATTATTAGGATGGTGGAACAGAGGAGGATCATAGTTGGAGTTTATATTATAACAATCCAAGTTCTTAATTACTGAGATCTTGTCCATTTTAGCGCCTTACGGTTTTGTTCGTTCTTATAATTTCCTAGAAATTAATGCATTCTAAGTGTGCTGCTATAACTTTGAAGTTTCTAATAAAATTTCAATCATTACATCAAAAGACGTCTCAATGTTGATTAGTTTAACTACACTATTATTCAAATAAAACTGCTATTTAGTTAGAATTTGCTGTTTAGGTAACATTAAACAAAACAGATTTTACAACTAATTTTACTTGAAACACATGCAATTTAATTAATTAAAAAAAAAAGTTTGAAGTTGTAAGACCTTATCAAACACAAAAGTTCTATCGATCTGCTTGTTTCCAATCTTCTGGATTGCCAAGACTTCTCCCCTTAACTCATTGCAGGATATAACGGTCGGCATGCGGCAAATTGCTTCTTCCTCACTCAATGGTCTATCAAAACTCAAAAGATTTCAACAGATTTTGCCAAAAAAAACAAAAAAAACTGAAAGGACAAAAAGTTCTTATTTCACATGCCTGCACCGGAGAACAACTTGAACGTTGAGATCTTTTTCCTTGTCATTTCTGTTGCAAGAAGAATAAGAGAGATTCATAGGCATCTCTCCTATTTTCCTCTGAATGCCCTCCATTTCCTCTGAGCTCGGAGAAGCAGATAAGCACATCAAAAACGGATTTTCTTTTTCAAAAAAATGGATTTTTTCTTACTGTCATGATTACAAAGAAAGGACCTTTAGATAGCGCGTTGATGGAGGAAGAAGGATGAAAAGGCAGTGAAGAGGAAAGTCACAGGGAATTGCCGCCGGCGGCCGGTGGCCGTCGTTGAAATCAGAGTAGAAATTGAAACCTGAAGGCTTACAATCTGATATTGATTCAGTCTTTTCTGCTTTTCTGATGCCTCCAATGTGGTTCTTCATCGCCATATTATTTTTTATGTATCTGCTTACTCAATCAATAAATAATTAGATTTAATTATCGAGACGACATTTGGAGGGAAGAGAATTCATGAAAGCAACTCCCATTTAACGGTTCTTTAACAGAAGGAAATAGTTTTTAGGAGAAGTTCTACTAACAGTCAAAAGAGAGAGATTGTTTCTTTTCTTCCATGCTAGCCGTTAGAAGGCGAAATTTTTGTATCTGACTAAAAAAGCTAAATTTTCTTAAAGAAATTTAAAAATAGACTGCATAAATATATAAATTTTAAAAAAATTTCACCGTTGGAATTTGTCTTACAACATTTTTTTTAATGAAAAAAATATTTATTATTTAAGAAGTCATTGTTTATATTGTCACCATTTTTTATTATAAAATTCGTCAATTTTATATAGGATAACAAATTATTGGTGTCTTCACTCGATTATAATATGTCATGATCGATTTAATTAACTATTCAAATAATTTTGAATACTTTTATAAATATTTAGTAATTAAATGAACAAGCTTGAATAGCTTGTTAATTCATTTATGGTAGCGAGCAATATGGTTTAAGACTTTATTATAAATAAGCTCGATAAGAAGTTCATTAAGAGGCTTGATAATAATAATATTTAAAGCTAATGAAGATTGTGAATAAGTTCATGAAGATGTTTGATTAAGGGTGTAATAATCCAAAATTTTTTGAAATAATTTTTTTTAAATGAAAATTTTGAATTTCAGTGTCGTACGTTATCGAAGAAGAGAGAGAAGATTGTTCGGGGCTTTTTTTATTTGTCAATCTTGTCTAGAGATCTCTTTTATTTGTCATAAGTAACTCAAATCTCATTTTAGTTTTCAATGATTTTGATTATTATATATATATTTTTTTATAATGAACATAATTGATTATTTCCTACTGCATTTTGATTGTGATATTTGTATGAGCAAGAAAGGTTAATTGTTAATACTATAAAATGGATTGACTATTAAAACATAATACCCTATGCAGGAGCGTGGGTCGACGTGTTTTCCTTTAGAAATGGCTTGTGGTGTTATCCTGGTTGTAGCATGTAACAGATAGCCGATTACGCTGACGGGCAGAGAGTGAGGCTTTATTGAATATGAATTTTCAATGATTTCAAGTCTGGTAATGGGCCAGGACCACTTGGAGTGAGATTGTCGTAGATCCTCATGTATTCTTTAAATTTTGGTTTTATATTTTCTTTTATTCTTTTGTAGAGTTATCTCCTTATAGTGTAAATAATATTTTGGGTAAATAAATAGTAAAATATCTTGATGTATATGATTTTAGTTGTTTTTGCTAGTTATGGTCAATATTGATGATTTATAAAATCTATGATATATTTTTAAAATGATAAATAGACAATTCTTTCAAATTTGATTATGAGGCATTATAGGGCTTGTGAAAATTAAAACATTGATTAATAATTCATAAAAGTAAATGATAGCATTACTTAAATTAACATCTTTTTCATTAATTTTACTTTAAAAATTGAATCCCTAACCCCCGTTCTCCTAAGCTGTAGGCTTCATTTGGGATAACTTTCTTACTGCTTCTTAAAATAATTTTTTAGTACACAAATTTTAATTGTATTAAAAAAGTTGATTTAAGAAGTAAAAAAACTGTCCCAAAGAAAGCCATAATCTAATAAATGAAATTCAAAACCCTTGCCTTCATTGATAGGACCAACAATTTGTTAAAAATGAAGAAGAGTTTATAGGAGTTGCATGTGACTTTATTTATAAGTATGTATCGTCATCGTTTGCTGAGTAAAGTATCTTGGACGATAATGGATTCCTACCTTTTCTACTCAACTCACTCAGAACTTTAAAGCACAATGGATCCTTCTCTTTTGATTTACACAGAAGATGACATAAAGCTCTATCTTCTCATCTACATTGATGAACATGTCAATACTGATTCTTATAAGTCGCACCATTTCATGCACTACATATGATGTATATTTACTCATCAAGCCAAGGCCTTCCCTCTAAGGAAGGATCTCATTTGTAACAGACTGCAAACATTAACATATTCATTCAAATTGGGCAATGCCCTATGATTTCGTCCCCTTTTTTAGAGATTTTCATGTAAAAACTCTGATGTCTCTTATGAACGCTCCACCTTATCTTTTATTTGATTGTGTGCTGGATCTTCATACAAAGCTAAGACATTAAACTTTATATTTCTTTATCGTTGCAAAAATTCTAGGATGCAACAATCTTAAATTTGATTAATTCTAGTTTAAAATAAAAATGACTTTAATTAATTATCAAAATGTTATTATTATAATTATAAGAAAACTATTTATATCTTTAATTTCAAGTCATATATTAATTAAGATTATGCTCATTTGTATCATAAATAAAATTTTAAATTTCTACAAAAAATCAAACTTATCTTTTTTTTTTTATTCCTCTTGAACTAGTCATACATTTTTAGGATGATTAGCAAGGTTGTGAAAACTGGACCGGACAATGAACTGGAAGAACGAGAGGTTCACGGTTCGATCGGTTGACCGGTTGACCGGGGTTGAAATCAGATGATGTAATAAATAATAATATTATTATAAAAAATTAATAAAATTAACACATGAAATCAAAAATAATTTTTTGTTTTGTATGGTTTAGTCTCACATCACTTGTGATGTTTTGATTTGCATAGTTTATATAGCTTTTTTGCTTTTACACATGATAGGAGCTCATATGGAGCCTTGTGAAACCATGTGATAATGTTGTAAATATTATATAATCATTGTCTTTAGTACTTATTTAAGAGTTTTAATATATAATATTTATATTAATTGATTAAGTTTATTATTTATTTAATATTAAATAATTTATTTAATTATTTTAATTAAAATTTTAGATCGGCTGATTTTAGAAAATCGGGCGGTTCTCGTTTGAACCGGCAGCTCAAATCGGTTCTGGTCGATTTGGGTTTTTAAGGCTGAACCAGATCGGCCTTCAGAAAGGTTTATGATTGAACCGGCCGGACCGACCGGTAATGTGAAATTGATTAGTGTTGGAAAGATTTTATTTAAACATTAAAGAATTTAAATTTTTTATTTATTCCCATAACACTCAAAATTTTAAATAACATAAAAAATAATATTATCCCACCATCTATTACAATTTTATTATCAAGCTTGGTGTCTTTCATGGGTCGTCGATTTCATCGCCTTTCTTTAGTGAGATTTTGTCGTGACTTCTTGAGATCTTTTTAGGATCTATTTGAGATAGCTGTAGTGTTTTATAAAACTGGTTGTAATATTATTGTAGGGAAAATAATTTTACTATTATGATTGCAAAAAGTACTTTTTCATTATAATTTTTTTTGAAAAAAAAAATAGTCAAATAAAATTATAGTTGTTATAGTTTTCCGCACTCCATTGATCTCATTGATAGCTTTATAAGTGAGATCATTTCATAACCTTCTTGTCTTTTGTCCTCTTCTTTTCTTAGGTGAGAGTTTTGTTGAGGACATTAAATGATATTTATGTAAATAATAAATTTTAGATATTAAATATGTAAATATGATATTTGACTTTGTAAGTTATGTGTAAATAGTAAAATACCTTTTTTTCTAATTTGGTCCTCTTTTAATTTATTTACAAAATAGTTCTCTCTCCCCTTTCCCGCTATATAACCATTTACCATTCTAATCCGAATGAGCTGATCCGTAGGTGCGCCCTAACGGTGGCTGTTTTCCGTTCTTCTTTCCGTTGATCGTCGGAGGGTTTTCAAAGTCGGGTTTACAATCAGTTCTCAAAAATTCTTATCTTCAGCGTTTATATTTTCCGTTACTACGATTGTTTGGTTCTTTTTGTTGCCGTATTAATTGGATTAGTTTTCCTCAGGATTTCGTAGATGTTTGATCTAAATGTTTCTTTCTATGGTGTTTCGGTTTGATTTTCTCTGTTAATACAGATGTGGTGGTAAAGTTAATTAGTTTTTTTAATTGTATTTGATTTTCATGATTTCTCTAGCTTTTCAGACAGTAAAGAAGAAGTGAGTTCCATGATTCCATCTTTTTGTTTATTTTTTAATAATTGATTTGTATGATTTGGCACAGTCAGCCCTGTTTGTAAGTGATAAAAGAATCAAGATAGGTTTTTACCAGTAAACAATTAGGGATTTCTTTTACTTTTGAACATAATTACTTTATACATCAACTCGTTGACATGGATTATTTTGTTTGTTTTTTCAAGCTTTAGGAGGAAACTACAGCGTATCTTCAAATATATTGTTCTGTTTTTAGAGCAACTGCAAATGTCATCATTTTTTATTTAGTATTTTATGTGAAAAATGACCTCTAATTTTAATTTTGCTACAAATATTTTAAAAATTTAATGTTATCTTCAAAATGGTTATAAATTCTTTTTTTTTATATAAATTCAAAATTATAGTTGAATTAATCAGTTGTATGATTTAATGATGCTGTGGTAGGTTTTAGGTTTCTTTTAATTTTTGTTTTCTACCTTTTTTATTTTGGCAAGGAAAAAATCCTGCAAAAAATTAGAATTGTTTGGATGAAAAATTCAATATCTTTTCCTTGATTTTTGGAGAATTTAGTTTAAAATTTTTACTCGTATATAACTGTGCCTAAAAAAATAGTTTTTGAAAAGCTCTAAGGATAAAATCAGAAAAACATAATCAATACTAACTGAATACTTTATATCAATTAATTTTCCCTTGTTGAAGGCATAATTGGTCTAAAATTTTATCAAGATGTATTTCTTACAAATAGTTTTTGACGGGGTGCTCGACTCTCATATCATTGCGTGCAAGTTTATGAATTTAGAAGGATATTTTTCAGTTAAAATAGATGTATAAATGTCGGACAAAAATATTTGGATAAAATTACAAGAAATAACTATTGTGTTAAAAATTAAGCACAATCCATGCAATTTGCATACTTTTAAATAATATTGCTTCTAATTTCTGTTGCTTTTTGTTTGATCTGCTCTGTTAGATTTCTAATTCTACTATGTTAGATTTCTAATTTTCTTTTATATGAATTAATGTTGCAGGAGTGTTTGCATTTCATATTATCTAGCCTCTTTTAAGTCATGGCTGTAAGTCAAACCACAATTATTGCTCTAGGGGTAGCATTTTTTGGTGCCATGGCCTTCATATTTGCTGTCCTTGCTGAAAACAAAAAGGTATTTTTTATTGAATTCATTTATTTTATAGATAGATGTTGTTCAAAAGGATTTTCAAGTTCATCTAAGAGAATACTTAACAATAACAAATACAAAATGAAGATTCATAATTCCAAAACCAAATAGTTTGGGATAAGATGGATGATGATGATGATATGCCTCTCTAATTACTATGGTAAATGGAGACTAGATTAATAATGCACTCAATAAGGTGATGAATTGTAGTGTCTGTTGGTTCTTTTACATTTTTAATGCAATATTATAATAAGAATATATATTAGTTATCTAGATTGGAGACATCTTCTCACCAAGAATTCTAAAATTATATATATATATATATATATATATATATATACAAGGGAGAGATTCTTGACTTTAAATAGGACATTTTTATTTTTAATTTTAAGTCCGTATGTATATGTATGTATTAGCTGGCAATTCTTCACTTGACCGGCTTGGTCCAAACCAACCCTTCTTTACTGGCATGACAAGCTTATATTTCTGTAATTATGTGAGGTAGGACCATATAATATACAAGAGCATAAATGGTACCTTGCCATCTGGCGTTGATGAGGTCCCATTCATCTATTGATTTTTTTTTTAATCCATGTGTGTGCTTATTTGTTTGAACCGATGTTTGTCTGTATACTTATTTTTTATTATTTTTTTATTTGTTTGCTTGTGTTAATTTGTTGCAAGTGTGAATATATATATATATATATACCGTTTATGTGTCAAAAATGATTTTTGATATTATCAGCTTTTCTTAATAAACTGAACTTGTAATTGATCTTAGAATTTGATCTTTCTTCTTTAAGTTCAGTTTTTTTTTATTGTATATTTTGTATGTACTTGAAAACATCCAAACCTTAAAGTAAGTGTCCTCAACCAAGAATACCATATTCAACTGAAGAGAGAGCTTCTTTACTGAAATATAGCCAAAAATTGTCTGAATACACTTAATCTAACAAAATACATAGTGGTATTAAGCATATAATTACTCTAAATTCTAATTTCTACCTCCACTTGAAGATTACATGTTGAATAAATATATGCCAATTTTTTAATCTTATTTAAAAAATATATTGGAGAAAACGAAGACTCAGTTTTTATCGATGAATTGTTGACTTGCATTTTTTTTGTTGTTGAAGTTATTGATATGCATCTTCCTTATTATTTTCTGGTTGTAACAGCCTGCCCGGGGAACTGCAGTGCCTATGAAAGATTATGTTATGTGCAAATTTCCAAATGATCCAACAGTTGCTTTGGGAAGCTTATCAGTGGTATCTCTTTTAATATCTGCTGCTCTTGGCCTGGTCGCTGTCTTTTTCCCTTATAAAGGCATATTTGTTCCAAAAAATGCACTTCTCCAGGGCATGACTATGCGTGTATTTTTTCTAGTTGCAGCGTACGTATCTATTGCTTTCTCAGTTCAAATTTTATTTTAAGTTGAAAAATTGCTTTGCCGATTTGTTGATGAACGATATTTTTTCTTCATAATTAGCATTATATTAACTGATTGGAATCAGCTATCTTTTTTGTTAATATTCAAATCTGAAATGTAAATCATTTAATTTTGTTTGGTTTTTCATATTCAGAGCGGTAAATGGTAATCAACATGCAGTTGTTCCGTAAACAATTTTGAATTAAAATGTTTAACACTAATCAATGAAGATATGGCTTCAATTTTCAACTTGCAAGTACCTTTGCTTCTTTTGGAAGTTCATTGTTCATTGAAAATTAATTCAAATATGGCATCAACAACTCACTCCCCATTAAATAGATCCTTTTGCTCCATATCATGCACAACTTTTGTTAGGCCGGTTCAACCTGAACCGGCCCAAAGGCCGGCTCAAGTCTACAGGAGGCGGACAAGTGCTGCCTCCCTTTCTTCTTGCCGCCAACAATAGTGGGCCCCACTAGTCCAATTGAATTCAAAATTGAAAAGGAGGGGGCGGCTAGGGCTTGGGAGGGAAATTAGATTAGGAAAGTTTATGTATGAAAGAGCATGAGATGTTTTAGGGTGAGGATATGCTTGATTTGATTTCAGTTAGGGTTCCTTGGTGATTTGGGGCTCTAGACTATCTCGTCAAGAGATTTGGGAGAGACGATCCTCCTCTCTAATTGAGGATCACTTGTATCTTGTTTATGTACTTATTTGGTTTGATTTTCGTATTGCAATTCATCGTTTGTGCTGATTTCTCCTAGATTGTGTTATTCTAGTTTTTTTTTCACCAATTGATGATAGGTTTGCTTGCGAACTCAAGAATTACCCTTGGGGTTACTTGCGAACTCAAGTATTTCCTATCACATTTGTTGCTGCTTAAGAGCAATTTCACTGGTTCAATATAACTAAGCTCAGATTGATAACTTGAGCTCAATATTTGTTACTACTTTGCACTGCTGATATTATGATGTGTTGGTGTGGTGATACCAGGTTAGTAACTCTGTTCGCAGAAGCTATGTTGATGTGGGTAACAATCACTGAAGGACTTCATAGAACCCTAAACCGGCATTTCGATCCGAACTATGAATGCCCAACTGCTAAGACTGGACTCTTTGGTGGTGCTGCTTTCCTAGCACTTGATGCAGCTTTGTTCTGGCTTGTATGTCAGATGCTGACTCTAAATGCAAGAGCTGATTACTTAGAAGAGGATGACTCTAAAGGAGCTTACGGTGAGGTTCTCACTACTTATTATGACTCTAATGCTGCAGAGCATACATGATCAACTGGTTTGAATCAATGAATATCCAGCAATCAATGGAGAAAAACAAGTGATTTGAGCTCTTAAAGCTGTGAATTATTTCTTATAGTTATATACCTAGGCTGGCAAGCTATTCAAATTTCCAGTTTGAAGTTATGCTGTAGTTATTGCCTGCTGCTTTTTGTCACTCCTTTTCTTTTAAGTTTGGATGTGTTTGGAGACAAAGCATTTGTTTTTGTGATTTGTGCTTATGTTTGGTTGTAAGAACTTTGAGTGAAAGGAATGTTTTTTTTTTTTTAAATTAAATTTTAAATTAATGTCTGCAAATATATAATCAAGCAAAATAAGTTTCTCTCTCTCTCTCTCTCTCTCTCTCTCTCTCTCTCTCTCTTTCTCTCTCTGGAGAAGGATTTTACTGTGAACCTGCGGTTTACCGTGAAATTATTAGGTGCGGACACCGAATGCCGTCCTGAGCCCAATGAAAATATGCCACGTCACCCCTACTCGGTGCCGCGGCTCGGTACTGTTCGATACTGGATGAGTGGCTGCACCTGATTGGTCTCTGGACGGTAAGCTGTGTCCGATGTCCACACAGAATAATCTCTCCGGTTTACCAGACCATCTGTGAAGAGTTTTGTTAGCTATGATTCTTCATAATGAAAAATTGATCATGTCTAATCATTTCTTTTGTGCTTGTCTGATTGAATCCTGTGCTTTCCATATTTCTGTTATACTTTGCTTATTGCTCCATTTATCACAGAATACTCTCTTATTGCCTGTTTCTTTTAATCTCTTTATCCTTAATGAAATTTACATTGCTTCAAAAGATTCATGGCTCGAAAAGATTCAGGCATTGGAATGTCAGTGAAAAAGATAAGATAGATTGAAAAACTCTTTCAATAATTCAATGTTGTTTAAAAGATAAGGTATTCAAGAAAGTATTTGAAGAAATGCCACAGAAGGTTTATGGCTCAAGCTAAAGCCTTTGCACAAAATAAGAAGCATCTCTAACCAACTACATCAAAACTAAAATCTCTATTTACTTTATATGCAAGAAATTATGTCCATCGAAACAGCCGAAAACTCTAACACTCATTTGAAAAAATTCTGTTTGTATTTAAAAAAAAAAAAGAAATCAAGTTCAAAACTTTGAATTTCAAAGAACAAGTTAGCAACAGCAAGAAGCAATAGCAGACAAGAGAAAAGACATATCTCTATGTTCTAATGTGTAGCTGGAGAAGATACAGCCAACTTTCCTATAGCATAAAAGCACAGCTAGCAAATACCTTTATGGGGCTGTTTGAAGTCCTATTTTGGGCAGGATTTAAGCAAGATTTAGCTTAAATCCTTCCAAACAGAATTTGAAACTTTAAATCCTATTATTATGATAATTATCATTTCAATCCCCTTATTGTTAGTATTTAACATATTAGGGATACTCTCTCTTACAAAAGTTAAATCCTGAAACAAATAATTAAATAGTTTATTATAATTTAGCAAGGTTTACTTCTTGTCATGGCAATTTTTTTTTTCAGATTTTAATGTTATCAAAATTTACAAATTTTAATCCTATCTTCTAAGTTAGATCTTACTCTTTTAGCCAAATAGCTCCTGCATATATCTCAAAAGTACAACGCACAAAACACATTTTAGATTTTGTTTGAGACAACTTTCTTATTGCTTTCCAAAACATCTTTTTAGTATAAAAATTTCAACTTAAAAAAAAAATGTATTGAAAAACTGCTTTAGAAAACATTAAGAAAACTGTCCCGAATGAAGCCTTAGGCTTCGTTTGGGATGGCTTTTTTATTGTTTCATAAAGCAGTTTTTTAGTACAAAAGTTAAAATTTTTATACTAAAAAGCTACTTTAAGAAGCAAAAAAATGTCATCCCACACGAAGTCTTAATCTCCCATCATCCAACATGCTATCCGTTGGCTCGCAGCTATCTCAAATTATCTCTTTCTATAGAAGGTGCATGCCTAAGTGTATATTTTATATTATTGCACTCAACAACAACAACAACAAAATCGAGCTTTTATCCCACTACGTGGAGTCGCCAACATGAATCCTTTATCTCATAAAAAAAAAAAGCACAAAAAATTGTTTAGGACTCATTTTCTTTAAGTAGAATAATAAAAATGAGGAGGGTGATATATACTTTTATTTGAAAAAAAAAAAAAAAAAATCCACCTAAACAAAAGGTGTTTGGTATGTTTTAAAATGTAATATAAGCACTTCACTTTTGTATCATCTCGGGTTTGATGTAATCTTTATATTATATAACCAATGATCAGTTCAGAATCTAATGACTAAAGAATACAAAGCAGTACAAGACAGAAGAACAATTATATTAAAATCCAAAAACAATATCTTTCAGGCTGTGCCTTTCTGGAATGCTCCAACACTTGTTGCTTCCCTTTCTCTTTAAAGTTCAAACTTCTCTCCACTTTTCCCAAAGAAAGTTTGCATCAAAAGCCAATGAAATGAATCCTCCTACATAGCTGTCAAGGGCCCTATCCCAACTATGTAAGCTTTCAATGTTTCCATCATGAAATGGAATCTAAAATCTATAACCCATGAGCTACATTATTTGATTGCTCTAGTTTGAAGGTCTTCATCCTACTCATGGAAGACTAGAAGAATCCAATGATCTGTTTAAGTTGTGAAGCTTATTTTTGTCCTATGAAAAAAATGCACTTAGCAAATTTAATTATGGATTGACCTTCCTTACTGTATCTAGAGGCGAATAAGAGCGTGCCATGTCACCCGGTACACAGCGGTGCCTCCAGATGACGTCCGGTGTCCGTATCCGTACAGAATAATTAATCGTGTTTTGAATAGGTTTTTCCTATTCCTAACATGTAGTAAGATCTAGCATTTTTTTTTCAGTGGACATGTTCATGTGATCAATTCTAGCTTGTAGATTCTACAAGAAAATTACAAAAAAGTAGCAAGAAAAATGAAGATTTCAGGAAGAAGACTGCATTAAACTAGATGGAAGAGAAGAAGAAACCCAAATATCAAGTTCTAACTTGACCTCCAAAGCAAATTTTTAGTTTCAATCTGAACTCTATATACATAGTTTTCCTCTTCAAACTAATTACTGCTTCTTGGTTCCTACTGAACTAATCTTTGCAGCCAACAGTTTCTGAGTGCAATCTCTTTTTGCCATGAAGAGGAACTCCAAAAAGCTTGACTGTGCCATTAAAATCTTCATTCTGTTTCAATGAGCCGCCCTCAATAGATCCATAGTTTTCACAGAGATGTAGCTCTGATTCAGAGGTTTCTTGTTGATCACAAGGATCAATCTCTATAAGCCTGCACGGCTTTTGGCTTCCCAGCCTTTGGTCTGTGGGCATTGGACTTACATGATTTTGAACGAAGTAGATAATGTCATTGTAGAGCTTCTTCATATGAGTGAGCTCTGATAATAGATAAGAGTTATTCCTCCTCAGCCTCTCGTTATCCTCAGAAAGAGCAGAAATGAAAGGATTAGATTCATTATCTGGTTGAGGCAATGGGGGTTCAATCCAACTGCTCATTTCTTCCTGACAGTGAAATGTTGTTGGTGAGTTAATGTATTGCTGATGATGGTGATACTGTTGAGGGATCTGAGGAGTCTTTCTTCTGTGAATCTCAGAGAGTAAATGCTTCTCTCCTTTCCTGAAGAACTCATTAGCAAACTCCCACCTATCTGCAACTATTTTCCTGAAACCCTGCAGAGAATTAGTACGGAAAGACCATTATCATTAGTTCATTACTAAGTTTTAAAAGATGATTAACCATCTTTAGGAAGAAAGAAACTGCACATTACTTATGTTTAACTATTTAAAGTTTAGGAAGACCATTCAAACACACATTTTCTTCCTTGATTTTATCAACATGAAGTGATGCAACTTTAGAAAACACAAAAAAGATTTGAACTTTGAAGAGAGTGTCTCAAAGAAACAATTTTAAATTAATTTATGGATGAAAAAAGAACTGATCGGAAACCTTTCATGTGGTTAAAAAGAGAGGGGAAGAACAAGGGATGGCTAAGAAACCAGTTCAGAAACTCAGAAACTTTTCAGAATGAAGTTGAACAGAGAGAAACAAATTCCTGCTTTCTGCTTAAGAGGTGGAAAGGAACTTCAAGTGGACAAGTAAAAAAAAACAAAAGGCTACAGAAGGAGAAAAGGCAAGAGTGGAATGAATGCTTACATAAGTATTGAGCTGCCTCACAAAGCTGGAGAAGTTATTGTGCTTGAAGTAGTTGGGCAAGAGATCTCTTGAAAATTCTGGAGGTCTCCACACTATAAAGGTAGAGGCATCTTCTCCCCATGAAACAATGTGATCTGTAGAAGGATCATCAACAAGTTGGAAGGTTTTGGTGAGAAATGGAGCAGGAGCTGACTTATGAGACTCTGCAGAGACTATCATCTCTCCACACCTATCAACCAGGAAGGCCATGGCTTCACAGAACACAGTAGTAATTTACTTCTTCTACAAATGTTCTAAAGTATTCTCTTTCTGCTTTATATTTATATAGATTTATACTGATAATGAACATTAGTGCATAAAATGTATTGTTTAACCAACAAAACATTAGATATAAAATCCCAGCTATGAGTTACTTTTACAGCGAGTAACTCTAAAGTTCTGGCCTGGAAGCTAATAGTAAAAGATGGCATCTTCCAGCACACTCTCTTTCTATAAGATCAGAGAAGTAAAATACCTATATCTAAAATGTTGGATTTCTGAAACTAATATTTCTTTAATTTTCAAGTAGAATATGAACCACATGCAAAGTCTGTGCATAGAGAATCTTTTTAACAGATGGTTCTAATTGCATTAAAAAAAAATTTAGAGGCTATTTGGTTGAACATTTATAAAATACATGCATTTTAGAAATAGAAATTAATATAAATTCATAAATTTTAAGCATGTAGGAGATGTTTCCTTCTACATAAGTAAAATACATTGAAATTCATATGAGAGTGAACACCGGCGGCACTAACAGTCGAAGGCCGACAACAACTCAAGTTTGAAATTCGTTTGGGATACTTTTTTGCTGCTTCTTAAAGCTGTTTTCTAGTATAAAATTTTTAGCCGTCCCAAACGAAGCCTTAATATTGTATTTCTTTTTCTTTAAATCAAACACCAAAAACTTAAAATATAGAAAAGATTAAATGCAGAAAAAAATATAAATAGTGCCCACCAAACAACTCCTTATACTTTTATAGTTTATTATCTCTTAAGAGAGTCATATAAATTCAAAATAAATGTTTTCCAAATTTGAAAACTATGTTCAATAAGACTTCAACAACTCCTGAGATCTCATATCAACAACACTGAGAATGCCCAAATTTTCTGTTTCCTTGCTGATAAGCTTACTTACAATATGTTATTTTGGTTTCATTTGAGACAACTCTTTTATTGCTTCTTAAAATAGCTTTTCAGTATTAAAAAGCTGCTTTAAGAAGCAGTAAGAAAATCGTCCAAAATGAAGCCTTTTATCTTTCTTTTATTAGCTGCCATTCTGAATAAATATAATTTCTATTTGCAGTTTCAAGGCAAGCCCGTGACTTACATGGCAAGGTAAGAGAATTAATAATAAAAAAGAAAGGTGGAGAATAGTTTAATTTCCTCTGGTAGGAAGAACTTTGTTTATGCAATATTTTTAGTTTTCTGGCCATTTTTGTCATTGGCTTGCTTGGTGGGGTTCAAAGCCTTTTCCTTCCACATGTAAATAAATATTCAAACATAAAAACAAACATTCCTCACTTACAACCCACATTGAAAGAGGTAATGCTTCTAAAGAAGAAATAGTATATCTTGCTTTGATAGATGGGGCATATATAGCTTTGCTCATCAGGGAAGATGCTTACTTGGGATTTGTGAATTGTTTCAGTGTGAGTCCTTCCTTCCATAGAGAATAGCTATGTACAAAAACCTATTCTCCAAATTTTAACTTTTTCTTTTATAAAAAAATTCTTATGTGTTTTTTTTTTTGTTGAATGTGTAAATAAAAAAAATATTTCCACTTATGAGCAATAAATTTAAAATTAGAAAAAAAATATATTTTTTTCTAATTGTTTAGCTGTAGATCCTTACAATTATGATCTATTGATTGCACTAAAAAATTAGTGCTTATTAAAAATATATAATCAGCTTTACAAAAATCTTATTTGGCATATAAGTAAAACAGATAAGAGAAAAGAAGGAGATTGAATGAGGGCTTTTTTTTTTTTTTTCATTTTACATCTGTGTTATTTGATATTTATGTGATGCTAATATGAATATCTACTTATGTTTTAATGATAGACTTAGTGTGAAAAGTTAAATCTAGATTGATGATGTTTGTTTTAAGCATTTTTGCACTCTTTATATATATATATATATATATATATATTTATTCATAGGTGATTTAATTGAAAGGGAGAGTGTCGCTTAATTATTTTATGGATATTTTATTTGGAGAAAGTTTTTGTTTATTTACCAAGGTGAGTGATAATATCATGTTGATCATCATGTCTTTTTTTTTTTAAGTATAAACTTGGCTTGAATTATTTCCAAAAAAAAATCTAAATTTTCTTCCGCCCAGCAACTTCACACATATATATCCCTATGCAGGTAGCTCACAAGTATCTCATCATGTTCCAATTCATGAGACTTACTTCGACAGAGTACTTAGTCAAGCATGACTCACCCAAATGGACCCTTATCCTACAGGGAATTTACTAGCACCAACATGTGGACAAAGTGACCTATGTGAGGGATTGCGGTATACAGACTCGCCCTAGGAGATCAATCTGAGGATGCAACCATCCTTTTCTGGTTCCTCCAAAGGGTTCACCTACACAATCCTTCAGCCCAAAGGGTGCTCACCCTAAGAGAATTCACTCCCCCACAACAACTGTTCATAATTAAGAGCACCCATATTCCATGGGTGTCTCAAATCAAGCTGCTATAAGAAGCTCTCACATACAGAATCTACAGCCATAACTCCAATGACCAAACTCATCCTAGGTTGGCAGCAACTTCCTACTGGACTCGCCATCTATTCCTAGGGACTCACCTTCATACACTTGAACTATATGCTAGATCTTAAAGGCTCACCCAAAGCATTCACCCTTGAAGATTTCCCAAGGTACTTGCCTAAGGGGAGAGGGAAATGCTAGAGGTAAGGGTCCACGTGTACACCATCAAGCTAGTCGTCCACATATTTGTATCAATTTGTATTGGTCACATATTGTATTATTTTTCTTGTTTATTTTATGTGTAGTCTTTTTTATAGCCCTCTTAACCCTATAAGTAACGGGTGAATAGACATATTTTAGATTTCATATTATGGAAATTACTCATAGAGATACTAGAGCTTTCCACTAATTTTCCATACTCATTATCTTTCTCACTCAATTCTCAAGCTCTCGCATGCTAAATACATGTTAGTAGGGTCAGTTATCGCCTATGAAAAATTTAGATTCAACATCCTCTAAGTTGTGGTGAGCCTAGATTAATAATATTGACCTAAAGATATGTGCATTATTAATAGCATGGAACTTAGATATGAAGACAAGTATCTCACCAGGTTCCATTCCATGAGACATAGCTAGGGGGAGCATGTGGTTAAAGCAACACTCACCTAAAGGGAGCCTTACCTAGCATGGAAATACCGGCGGTTCTTATTGTTGGTAATAAACCGGCGGTGGTTTTTGCGCCGAAATGTTTTGGCGGTTTACTTGCAATTTTGGGTTCATTAATTTCCGGCTGTTTGAGCCACTGGAAAATTGCCGAAAATTTTTTCCGCCGAAAATTGGCCGCCGGTTTGCATTTCCTACGTGGTTTATTCCGGCAATTCACTAGTTTATGAAATGTCGGAAATTTTCCAAACCGCCGAAAAATATATCAAAACCGTCGGTAATGGACGATTTTCCTTTAGTGATATTTTCTAACATATCATAATTAAAATTGAACCTAAAGAAATTAAAAAGATCAATTTCAACTTAAACTTACAAAAAAAAAAAAAATCAAAATCAAAATTTGAATGGGAGAAACTTTTCTCCACAATAAAATGGAACTGTGAGAGGCACATTATAGGTTCAGTGATATTTATTCCTTCAAGGTATTCCTTGAATATCAGCTCTTCTAGTCAAAGTAAGCAATAGTGCCATACCAAATTTATGCAGGATTGGTATTTAGCATGTTTCACAGGTACCCAAATATGCAGGTCATATCACATTTCTACACATCCAATATAAAAAAATAGACCTTCCCACCATACTTATATAGCTCACATACAATCTTCTTTCTATTTAATCTGCCACATGTGCTGTTCATCAATATATATGCTCCCATCAGTACTGTTACAGATAACATTTTTGTGCTTGCCTGCAAAGAGATAATGTAATGTAATAAAGTGGATTTGGGAGGCAAAAGAGAGAGCTTATAAGAAGAAAAACTATGGTGGTATTACATCAAAGATATATAGGTACAGTTGCAGGCCTGGAATTGTTTAATGGTAACATTAATAATGTGGAAGATTCTATTCCAGATATGACAAATTGCTTGAATAATCCACATCTATCTTCATCTGGCTTCTAATATGTATATCACATGACCTATCCCTATCCACATGTGACCCACTGCTTAGTAATGCAGGCTTAGATCTCTCTTTGACTGAAAATGATAAAGGTAAGAGAGAGAAAAGGAGGAGAGAGAGAGCGAAGAGAGAGAGCGAAGAGAGAGAGAGAAGAGAGAGAGAAGGGAGAGAGAGAGAGGGAGAGAGAAGAGAGAAAGAGGAGAGTGAGAGAGAGAAGAGAGAAGGGAGAGAGGAGAGACAGAGAGAGAGAGGGAGAAAGAAGAGAGAGAGAGAGAAGGGAGAGAGAAGAGAGAAGAGAGAAGAGAGAAGAGAGAAGAGAGAGAGAGGAGAGTGAGAGAGAGAAGAGAGAAGGGAGAGGAGAGAGAGAGAGAGGGAGAAAGAAGAGAGAGAGAGAGAAGAGAGAGAGAGAGAAGAGAGAGAGAGGAGAGTGAGAGAGAGAAGAGAGAAGGGAGAGGAGAGAGAGAGAGAGAGGGAGAAAGAAGAGAGAGAGAGAGGTTTTGGTCCAATGTTTCATTTATTATTCAAATGTAAAGATGTGTACATGTGACCATGACATAATTCCAACAAGAAAGCTTAGGCATTGAAGGGACAATTAATGGTGAGATGTTGATGCATCATGGGAAATTGATATAATCAAAGGGAAATCATTTCAAGGATTAATTTTTATCATCTAATCCCTTTGAGCTTTATGTGTTTTGATCTACATTATCTATGATCAGGATAATATACAAAAATTTTGAAGGAAATCCTTTAGATGTTTTCAGTGAGAATTTTCAGAATGTATATAGTATTTGATACCAAAAATAATAATTTATGAATAAATTAAATAAATTTCATAAAAAATTTCACATGATATAAAATTTTTGTAATAAAATTATTATTATTATTTTTTCTAATACATGCGTAAAATTTTAGGGCGAATATTTTTGTCCTAGTTGTGGGTCTATATTATTTTTAAATTAATTTGATATTGAGGATCTTGTCACTTATTTATTACTAATTAAGAGCAAAACTTCTACCAATCCTCTCCTTTAAAATATAATTGGAAGAGACAATGATACTCTCAAAAGCATTTCTAACATTTGAGAAAGCAAAATAATCTTTGAAATGTTTGAAAAAGATGGGAAAAGGGGGGTAATTAATCCCTACAAAGATAGGGATCTTAGTACCCAAAGGAAGCTTTTAATAAAAAAATAAACATTTTCCTTATCTTTCCATATAAAAGACATTGTGGTGGGTCACTACTCACATGGCCTTAGGAGATCCAATTGATTCAAGGTTGCAAATAAAGAAGAATTTTTTGCTAAGAAATTCAAATGAGAAGAAAATCTAAGTGAAAAATGAAGATATATGCATGCTTGAGAAATAAAATTTCTTTGAAAAATAAACAAATAAAAAATTTCGTATAAAAAGTAAAGGATTTACATGCATACCGTAAAATTCTTATGAATTTATATACCATAAAAATTAAAGGATTTACATGCATATAAATATTTTCATTATGAAAATCTCTTTAACCCACCGTTATTTAGTTTGGTTGGTGGACGAGTACGGTTGGGAACTCCCACCCGTGCTCGATTCCCCTCGAGCAGCACCGCTTCTTAAGTGTGAACAATTATTAGGTCCTCCGACCGGACGTAGAGCTACGTCCGATCGGAGCTAAAATCGCGCAAAAAAACGAGAAATACCGAGCAATACCAAACAATAACGAGGAATACCATCATGTGAAGACCCAATACCTAGTTATACCGAGCAATACCGAGTTATACAAAAAATACAGAGTTTTTCCTAGAAAAAACTCGGTATTTTTTTGTATAACTCGGTATTGCTCGGTATAACTCGGTATTGCTCGGTATTGCTCGGTACAGCCGAGAATTAGTCACACCACCAAGCACCTTTTCGAAGTTGACAGCAGGTCTCTCTCTCTCTCTCTCTCTCTCTCTCTCTCTCTCTCTCTCTCTCTCCTTGTCCTTAGTTTGAAAGGTGCATGTCTATGTGCTTATGAGGCACACACAGCATTGCATGCATGCTCTCTATGACCAGCTGATTACCTCTGATTTCATTTACATGAACTTTCATAATGATAACAAAAGAAAAAAGAAAAAACCTAAACCCTAAACCTTCCTTCTTTCTTGAGCTGATCAGTACATACCATGACATATTTGATGTAGATTACATATATAAAAAATATATTAATTTATACTTTAGCAATGATTCATTAGTATAGATCAGACCACCTCTTAGTAAAAAAGGGGATAATACAAAAGGAAAAGAAGCGCCATAATGAGAACTTGAGAAGGTGGTGGCATCTTTTCATGCCAAGGGGGTCCATTTATAAGGGAGCTTTGGTGAAAGCCGAGGGGATATAAAGCTGAAGAATTTTCTCAAGTCAATAAGGTTTTTGGTTTCCCAACAGCTTTCCTAATAAGATTATTGATGTGTTTTATGATTTTTTAATCATATTGGTATGAGTCTTTTCATAGCATTAAACTAATTATATTGCATGTGCTTCAAGCTTACTTAGGATCCGTCGGACATCTACAATTTTTTATGAAGATGATCATAAAATTATTATGTAAAAAGCAATTTTTTAAAAGCTATTATAAAAAGCAACTTTCTAACACAAATTTTTTGAAAACAGTGCCCAAACAAAAATATATATAATTATGATTTAAAAAGCAAAACAATAAAGCAATAAAAAAGTTATTTTAAACAAAACCTTAGGCTTTAGTTGGGACGGCTTTTTACTGCTTAAAATAATTTTTTAATATAAAATTAAAATTTTTACACTAAGAAGCTATTTTAAGCACTAAGAAAATCATCCCAAATGAAGCTTTAGTTTGGCTAAGATAAAAGAAAGGGGTCTTTTAAATGAATAATCAAAAGTATATTATGACCAAATAATTAAAACTATACATTTTGCCTATTAAAAACATATTTTTTTCATTAATAATTTAGGCATTTTTCATTAACATTCTTTATGATTAGCTATATAATAGAATTTATGTTGGATATTTAAAATTCATTCTTGTCAAAAAGAAATTTAATTAAGCTATAATTTAATCAGATGATTAGATCAATGTATGACATTCACTAAAAAATCAATTTAAAAATCAAATATTAAGTTGCTAAGATGCTTTCTTGATGCATGAAAGTTAGAATAAAATATGATAGCATGCAAGCTTTTAGTAAAGAAAATTTCGAACACAACTCTTTTGTAATGATCACCCTAAGCTATGCAAGCTTTGATGAAAGTAAAACAATACTAAAAAAAGCACTTTCCTACGCTTCAAACAAGCAATCATGGTGTTTGTCTTAGCTTTATCATGACCTCTTCAGCTTCCTAATTGAAAACTTTAGAGTTGTCGTGCCTAAAATGTTGAAATAAATGCTTAAATAATATGGAATCTAAAGGAAATTATGACTGCTCATAGGTTGAGTTAGTGGATCGGGATGCACTGGCTTACAGCCTCACACACTTCATGTATTTGACGAAATGCCTCATTACATTTCAGGGCCAATTTGCTCAGTTTCAGCACAGCAAACAGTCCCAGCTAGAGTTGAAATTTTATCAACAAATACTTTCAGATTTAACAAAACATGGAAGGAAGATTTGCTCAAATTGTTACATAAAAGAATACATTCTATCTCAGCTAAAGAGTTGTAATTATTTCCCAATGTTTGAAACTGTGAGGAGTGCAAAGATACTTCACTTATTTGATCTGAGATTCAATTAGAAATAGTTGGTTTCATAGAAACGCTTCAAGAAATCAGAAGCTCCTTCATCTTTTGTGCCCGAATCCTTGACAAGGCCTTCACGGCCTACAACATACTGGCCAATTATGTGGTGTCGCTGCTTAGCATGATCAACAACATTTGTCAGCTCCTCCATTGCTTTAAATAGAAGCATGTCAATCACCTGTTCAAAATAATATTAATACAAATAATAATAATAATTGCGAATCAGTTAAACTCACTAAATTTTCTCCTTTTTTTTTTAGTGTTTCATCACAGTAACCCAATCAAGCTTAAATTACAGCCTACGATGCACCGACACTTCTCCTCAAAGGGGCGTGCAGTGTCTGACACATATCTGACACCACACGCATCCGACACGCCTCCAAAACATCAAAAACGTGTCCAATAACAACAACAACAAGCCTTTATCTTACTATGTGGGGTCAGCTACAGGAGCACCTCCTCTTCGAGGAATAAGAGGAGAAGTGTCAACGGGTTGACAGAGGAAGAGAAGCTGACGGGGGCAAATTTGTGTTTAGACGAATGGCGAGACATGAGGTAACCCATTCGAAGCTGAAGGGTGTTCAAAGATTGTTTACTAGAATGTTTCCGAACCAATAGGGGAGGAGATGAGCAATTCTTTGCCCAGACATAGGAGGGGACCATGGCAGATTACCGTAACAGGTTCGAGTATCTGGCCAACAAACTAGATCGGTTCTCAGAGACAATGCTAGAGGGAAACTTTAAGAAAGGGCTTAAAACGGAGATCCGCAACAGTTAGGGTGATGAGGTCTTGAGACTTGGGAGAGACCATGGAGCTAGTGCAGTTGGTGGAAGACCAGAAGCATCTGAAAAAGGGGGTCTAAGGGAGCAATTCGGGTGGATCATACAGGATGACCACCACCTTCTTAGCTCCCAAGGGACCTGCATCAGGGAGTTCAAGGGAAGTGCCTAAGGAGAAGAGGAGGGGGATATGGAGGAAATTTCAAAAAGCTTACAAAGAAGGAGATACAAGAGAAAAGAGTAAAAGAGATGTGTTTTAGATGTGATGAGAAGTACATACTGGCGCATAGGTGTAAGGATCAAACTCTTCAGATTCTCATCGTCTGTGATGACGAGGAAGCTGAAGAGGGAGATGAGAGTGGGTTAATGGTGGAGGAAGAAGAGAAGTTGCATATGGACGTGACGGAAGTCTCCCTAAACTTAGTGGTGGGATTCACCCTGAATTACATCATGAAAATGAAGGGAGAAATAGGTGACAGAGAGGTGGTGGTGCTGATAGACAGTGCGACAACCCACAATTTCATCTCCACTTAGATTATTGATCTGTTGGGGGTGAAAGTAGTGGATACAGGTGGCTATGGTGTGATGATGGGCACGGGAAATGTGAATATGGGTAGAGGAGTTTGTAGGAAGTGGTTTTGACCATTCAGGGGATACAGATGAGGGAGAATTTTCTTCCCTTGGAGTTGGGAAACCCTGATGTCATTCTAGGGATAAAGTGGCTACAGACCTTGGGAGAGACCAAGGTCAATTGGGGAACACTGAGGATGAAGATGGTGGTTGAGGGAAAGAGAATGGTGATTCAAGGTGATGCAGGGCTATCTAAGACTGTAGTATATCTCAAGTCTATGATCATGACCATAGAGGAGGTGGGATGAGGATATTTGGTGGAGTTGCATTGCTTGGAGGGGGTCAGACGGGAGGAGGGAGACATTCTCTCTTCAATACAACCACTCATACAGCAGTTCAACGAGGTTTTTCAGCCTCCCCAGGGACTACCTCCTCAGAGGGAGCTAGAGCATGCTATTACTTTGACGGAAGGGGGTCGCCAATCAGTGTTCGTCCATACCGCTATCCTCAAATTCAGAAGGATGAGATTGAGAAGCTGATCCATGAGATGCTAGAGGCTAGGATCATCAGGCCAAGTATGAGACATTTCTCTAGTCCAGTCCTACTGGTCAATAAAAAGGATGGAAGCTGGAGGTTTTGTGTGGACTACAGAGCCTTGAACAGGAGGATAATGCCGGATAAGTTCCCTATTCCTGTGATTGATGAGCTCTTGGATGAATTGTATGGGCCGTGATGTTTTCCAAGTTGGATTTGAAATCAGGGTATCATCATATCAGAATGAGGGAGACAGACATTTCAAAGACAGCTTTAAGAACATAAAAGGGGCATTATGAGTTTTTGGTAATGTTATTTGGGCTACTAATGCCCCAACTACTTTCCAGTCTTTGATGAACAGGGTGTTCTAGCAATACCTCAAGAAGTTTGTTCTGGTATTTTTGATGACATACTGGTGTACAGCAAAATTGAAGAGGAATATATAGAGCACTTGAGGATGGTTTTAAGAGTTCTACAGGAGCATCAGCTGAAGGCCAATCTAAAAAAGTGCAGCTTTGCCCAAGCTAGTGTGGAGTACTTAGGACATGTAGTGTCCAAGAAAGGAGTGTCAGCTAACTAAATAAAAATTAAGACAATGCAGAAATAACCTCTGCCTAGGAACTTGGGGGAGTTGAGGGGGTTTCCTAAAACTGACGGGTTACTATTGGAGATTTGTGAGGGGGTACAATACTATCGCTTGGCTTTTAACCGAGCAATTGAAGAAACACAACTTTTTATGGGGAGAGGCAACGACTCAGGCCTTCGAAATATTGAAGAAAGCCATGACTATAGTTCCAATTTTAACTCTTCCGGATTTCAACCAGATCTTTGTAGTGGAGACAGATGCGTTCGAATATGGATTGGGGGCAATACTCATGCAGAATCATAGGCCTATAGCATACTTTAGTCAAGTCTTGTCCACTAGGGCTAGGCTGAAGTCGATGTATGAGAGGAAAATGATGGCAATTGTTTTGGCCATTCAGAAATAGTGCCCTTACATGTTGTGTAGGCATTTCATTGTCCGGACGGATCAGATGAGTTTGAAGTACTTGTTAGAGCAAATGATAGTGACCAAGGACCATCATAGGTGATTATCCAAATTGTTAGGCTATGATTTTGAGATATAGTACAGGCCGGGTTTGGAAAATAAAGCAACTGATGCCTTATATCCAGATGTGTTAGAGAACTTTCAATGGTAGACTAGGGGTCATCAAGGAAGAAAGTATGCAGACTGAGGAGTTAAGAAAGATTAGGAAGGACTTGATGAAAGATAAGAATAGCCATCCAGGGTACTATCTTGAAGGGGAGAGGCTATTGCATCAAGGGAGGTTTTTGAGGCCATGAACTTCCATACATATTCCCCACTTGCTATAGGAATTCCATGACGGTGCAGTTGGAGGCCATTCTGGGGTACATATGACATATAGGAGGTTGGCAGCTAAGCTTTACTGGAAAGGGATGCATAAAGAAGTTGAGTAGATGGTGGCGAAGTGCGAAGTGTGCCAAAGAAACAAATACATGGCAATGGCTCCAGGAGGACTACTCCAACCCTTGGCACTTCTAAACAGAGTATGGGACAAAGTGTCAATGGATTTTATCGATGACATGCCACGATCGAAGGGGTACACAATCATCATGGTGATGGTTGACAGACTTAGTAAGTATGCACATTTCATCCTCTTAAGTCATCCTTACACCGTAGTGTCAGTGGCGACAACATTCATCAGGGAGGTGGTTAGACTGCATGAGATTCCTGAGTCGATTGTGTCAGATCGAGACAAAGTTATCCTTAGCCAGTTTTGGAGGGAGCTATTCAGGTTGCAAGATATTGTTCTTAAAAGAAGCATTGCCTACCATCCGCAGACAGACGGGCAAACATAGCTGGTAAAAAGAAGTTTGGAGATTTATTTGAGGTGTTTTACTTCTGAAACATCGCGGATGTGGGAAAAATGGTTGGCGTGGGTTGAATATTGGTACAATACTTCGTACCATTCTTCTTCTCAGATGACTCATTTTAAAGTGCTTTATGGAAGAGACCCCTCACACTTAGTACATTTTGGAAAAGGAGGTACACTAGTTTCTTTAGTTGAACAATACTTAGAAGAAAGGGACAAGGTATTTGAAGAGTTGAAGAAATATCTGTTGAGGGCACAACAAATCATGAAAAAGTAGACATCTACACGCCGGAAGGACATACAGTATGAAGTGCAGGAGAAAGTGTTTTTAAAACTACAACCCTACAATCAGAGATCAGTTGTCAACAGAAGGAACGAGAAATTGGCCCCAATGTACTTTGGCCCCTACGAGATTGTGGATAAAATCGGAGCAGTAGCATATCATTTGAAGTTACCCCCATCCGCCACCATACACCCAATCTTCCATGTGTCGTAATTGAAAAGAGCTCTAGGAGAGCATGTATCTAGTATGGATTTGCCAGCTACACTTACAGAGTTAGATGTAATATTGAAACCACTGGAGCTACGAGGGGTCATATCAAATAAAAAGGGAAACAAAGAAGTGCTTATTAGGTGGAGAGACCTTTTTGAATTTGAAGCTACTTGGGAACCCTATGAAATGATGAAAGATCGGTTTCCTTCATTTCAAGACAAGATGAGTCTTTGAAAGGGTGGTAATGTTAGACCAGAACCGGTCCAACCTGGACCGGTTCTGGTTTACACCTGCCGGTCCTTTTTTTTTTTGGTTGGGGGGGAAGGGAAGAAAGCAAGAGGGAGAGGGGGGAAGCCTTGGTCGGGCCCAAGGCTTAATTAAACTTTATTTGAGAGGAAAATTTTGAATTAGGGGCTGTTTAGGAATTGTGTAATGTTCCTTTTGCTTTAATTAGTTTCTCTTGTTAGGGTTTGGGATTATCTTGAATTTGTGAGAATCTGAATTTGAGATCTAGGGTTTGTTCTTGGACTCTAAGCTTCGGCTAGAGATTTGGAGAGCTGAATCTTCCTCTCGAATTGAAGATTCATTGTATCGTGTTGTCTTTTCCTTCTCTTATTAAACTACAAAAGTGTTTTCCCTATTTTCTTACAGATTATTGCGAAAGCTGCACTGTTATTGCTAAATTTATCTAGAATTTAACAGTTTTTCTTGTGTTTCGTGGCTGTTTGCTATCAGCATCATATCAAACCTCTTTAGTACATCAACATTTGATAAAAATTAAAACAAAGTATTGCAAATATTATCACACTAACTTCTCCACAAAATCTAGGCAAACCTAAAGGTATAAACATTACTTTCTATGCTAATAGTGGATATCATCTCCAATCTTAAAGTAGGTGGTCCAACAAAAAAACATGTTCAAACTTTTTTTTCTTATTGTTTTTTTTTTAAACAATGAAACGCTCAAACTACCACTAAGAACCAGTTTCTATCATCAAGATTGAACATTTAAACTACACAGGACAAAAAACTGAATTATACATCTAATTACAAGAGAAAACTCTAATGTATGTCCCACTCCATCAACTATGATATCTGCTTTCTTGAATGACTATTTGAATCCATGTTATTTAAAATTTTCTAATTTTGAATATTCTGAAGAGATTTTATTTCTTGCTGCAATGCAATCAACCAACCACAGTTCCAAAAATTGCTTTACTACTGCAAGAGCCCATATCATGAAACACTAATTCTCCTGAAATTGTCTAATCAATTTGCCCCAATTGAGGTGAAGTCACACTTTGCTTCCTTGCCTTGCAGATACCTAGAACAGCTTTTACCAAAATAGCTTGGATAAAGCTAATGACAACTATTGTAAATAGGTAAGAGAAATTTGAAGAAAGAAGAGAAGAAACAAGGGGAAAATAGTTGGTAGCTAGGGTTAGAAAGAATTCAATAATCCATCAATAGAAAATATCTAACCCTAAACTTATCAACAACTTATATACAGGGAGTCATGACTCATCACAAAGAAATGAACTTAAACTGAAAATTGCAAACACAACAAGAAAGTTCAAGCTAAAACTAATAATGCTAAAAATAAATCCTAACATAACTTATCCAGCATTAGTTCCCCTAAGGTTGAGAAAAATCTTTATCAAGCTAGATAAGGTGGTGGCATTGGCTTGTGCACAGCTCAGTAATCAATATGATAGCAAGCACGTAGTCCTCCAAGAACAACACAAACATCTAGATGCTTTTGAAGTGGCCACGAAAGAGAGTCTATCATGGCAATGATAGCAATCAACTCAAACCATGTTGTAGGAGATACTGGTATTGATAACACAAACCTAATCTCAAGTGAGAAAAATATAAAAACAAAGATGTAGGACAATTTCATGCATACATTGGAGTACCATCTAGCAATGTTTAAAATTAAGCAATTTGATATTGAGACGTTTTTTGTTCATGAGGCGAGGTGTAAGTCTTAAGGCGTAATCCTCAAAAAGCAAAAATTATGGTAAAGCAAAAATAAAGGTTAAAATAATTTTTTATATAATGTCCAAATAATATGCTAAATGATGACATTAACTTTCTATCGAACTATAGAAATTACAAAATTTCATACATATGAAACAAAAAAAGTTCACAAAACGTAAAGTGGCAAATGATAACTTGCATTAACTATAATTGAAATTCAAATATTGCAAGAACAAAACAACATAAAATATAAGAATTGCATAAAAGTATCATATCACATCAAGTTCAACTTCAAATTCCTCTTTTCACCGAGGAGGTTTTTATTTGAGTCGTCATCATAACAAATTGGTATCTTCCTTGCCTCATTCTATGGAACTCAATGTCTCTCAATCTGCTTCTTCTTAATTTATTTCAACCATCTTCCTATTTAATAAATATTCTTCATCAATATAAAGATGAGATTAATACTCCAGAATTTTTAGAGGAATATGCGGTGGTGGTGTGCAGCTTTCAAGTGATCCCCGACGGCGACTACAACGGTGGTGGTTGTAGTGTAGGTAGGGTTGGAGATCAAAACAATTGAGAGGAAGTTGTTGTGGCTCGAGGGTGCAAGAATGTGTGATTTGTTTGGGGCTTTAGTTTAGGATTTAAGTAAATTATATATATATATATATGGGTGAGGCGTATAACTCACACTAGCGAGACGAGGCGCACCTTAAGGAAAGCCTCATAAAATATTCGAGGCATAAGCCTTGAGTTTTTTAATTGGAATTGAACTAAGGCGGGCCTCAAGGTGAGCGTCATATTGTGCAATTTTGAACAATGTTGTCTTGTCCTGATGTCAACACAAGTACAATTGTCAATATCACAAGAGATACAAGCATGTCACCAAGTACATTAGTTATAGTCTTATCTAATGTAAAAGATATAATAATAACTTATAAAACCAACACAAACAAAATATAGTACACAGACTAAACAATCAACATCCTCATGTATTATAGAAGAAACATTGAGTTCATCTTTTGCCAAATCATCATAATCATCATGAGATAATGGCTCATTATCTTTAGCATCTTCGATTAGACCAATATAATTCTACCAAGAATCAAGATGATCATTTGGTCCAGTGCTTTTATATGTTTTGCTTCCACTCATATAAACGTTGAAACTGATCTACATAAGAACCAAAAAGTACAAATAGAAGTAGAAGGTTATTGATACTTGATGCATCAATACTAAGAACTTGAGTGATGTAATAATTGTGTGGATCAATAATCATAATACTCAGATATAATAGATCAATTCCCGTAGCATGCAACAATATTTTGATTGAGGATCAAAGACAGTGATTAACATAATAAGCAAGTTGAGGAAATTGATCAATATTTATATTGACTGGGATGATAATATGAAAACCATGGATATCAATCAACATAATTATTTTCATGATCTTAAGAATAAGAAATTTTTTTTTCCTTTACAATTAATCTTTTAATATGAACCATGTAATGAGCTTCTGTAGAATTGTGAATTGATTTTAATCTACAATCATCACATTCACATAAATAAATACTTGCTCCTATGCATTCATAAAGTATTTCCCTTAAAAAATCATTTACGCGACTTCCTTCTGTTGATAAAGTCCTTCAGCATGAAAGCTTTCAAAATCACTGTCCAGAACACATAAGGCAAGAAAGGATCTTATGGAGGCGTGAAGGTCACAGAGGTGTGTCCAAAGAGATGATGAGACAGAGCACAAAGAGGTTGGAAGCCAGGACGGAAGAGGAAGAGTGATGGGGGCCATGTAGAAGGGACAATATTCAGTGGGTGGGCAGAGATAGGCGATCACGCGATAATTGAAAGAGCATGTTACAACAATTGCAATGCTAACATGGGAAACTATGATGCTATGAAGAGGCTCAGTCGGGGACAATGGCACATGGAGGAAGGAAGAGAACTACCCTAGGTTAATGAACACCAATGCTTCACGAAACCTAAAGCTAAAAGATTAAAAAAACTTTTTCTCTTCCTTTCAGAACAAGACACATTCATCAGGTTTGTTAGAACAAATTTATAAGAAACTAAATCCAAGTGGAAAAAGGAAGAGAACTACGAGGTTAATCCCAGAAACCAAACGGTAAAAAATAAAAAAATTCACATCCTTTCATCAGAAATTTTGTTGCAAGTGCAACGGGGAAGAAACCCATATGTTGGCGTTCTGCAAGGTTAATCCAAGTGCATGAGAGATTAGGGTTTGAGCTGAGAGGAAAAGGAGGGATTTGTTCACCTTAGGGTTGGTGACGTCGGCGTTCTTGCGGATCTCGGCGGAGATGGTCGATCGAAGCTGAGAGATCGTAGCGATGTCGTCGAGGTAATAGATGTTCATCACGGTGGGAAGTGAGCGGCACGCCTTCTTGAAGAAGTCGAAAGTCCTGCTCCTCGCTTCTTCCAACGTCTTCGAGTTCGGCGGAACCTTAGCACCTAATAGACCCCTCAACGGCGTCGCCATGGCTCCTCTCTTCTCTACTTCCCTAGCTCGCTGGCTCGCCCTCTTCTCCCTTCCTTCTCTGCTTTCAACGCTCGAGAGATTTTACAGTTTATTAATTTTATTTACGAATGGTATCTCTGAAATTATCGAGTTAAAATAACCTGTAACAAATCAAAAATATTAAAATAAAATAAAAATTAGATATAGCCCTATTGGAATAACTTCAACTAATATCATATATTTTTATTTTTCCTTGAATTCACACTGCATTTAATCCTTCAACTTTAGTCCACTTAGAGAGAGGATCTAGAAATAAACATTTAGCAACTAATATATATAAAAAAAACATAATACCTAGATTTGCCAACTAAAATACCTAGTTTTCAAATGACACATTTCAGTCATGTTTAGCACTAGTGAATCATCGCATTAAATATTATACTCTTGTAACTACTTGTATATCTCTTGAATCGTTTTTATCTATTTTGCAACAATAGAAATAGTTCATATTAGTTTTTCATGCCTCATACAAATCAGCTAAATTATATTTTATACCCTGATCGTTAAGATATTTTATATCTTGAGCGGTTCTCTCAAGCTCTTCTAAGAGATCTGTTGACCTCATTTCTATATAAGGCCACTAAAACCTATTTGGGTTTCTTCCTGATGACCTAATGATTGAGACTCTCCCCAAATCTTTTAACCACATCCATGACCTTTGTGATGACTTGTTAATCAGTAATCCACACTTTGTTGGACCCAGCTTAGCCCAGAGTTGACCAAGGGGTCAAAATGATCAAAATACCCTTTAAGAAGATTTTTTTAATCTTTTCCCCAAAGTTCAACATGACCTAGCCATATTAAATATCAAAACCTATTCCAATGACTCCTAAAATGTCATTAGGAACACATTCGACCCAAACTCACCCTTTGGTTTGACCTGGTTGACCAAAGTATATCTCAAGGGTTTAAACACTCATTTCAAACCAAATGAACTCCCATTGACTTGAGACCACTTCCATTGAGTTCATATTGTCAATTTGAACTCAATGAAAACCCTTGACCCTATGTTAACTTGATTGACCAAGTCAACAAAGTTTGATCAAATACATATATACCTTCATCTTTTTCAAACCCCTTGACCAAGTCTTTTCCAAACCCATGGAATGACCCATTAGGTCTCAAGAGAAGCCCCCTTGAGATCCCAAGGCTTTGGGCCCACTTGGGTTAGCCATTTAGTTTAACCCGTGTCCAAAGAGGGTCCCCTATGAGCCAAATCAAATAAAATCAATGGTTGCATTGGATCTCCCTTGACCTAATACTCCTATCCAAGTTGAGCCATCCCTTGGGTCAACTCAAGTTGGGAATTGGGCTAACGTCGCTAACCCAAAGTGGTCAAAACAATTATGGGTTGAGCTATTTCTCAACCTAAGCCCCTCAAGCCCAAATCAACACTTGCATTGGCTTGCCCTAGAGCCAATACACCTACCCTAGTTAGCCCAACCCTTGGGTTAACTTGGGTCAACCTTTAGGCTAACCCAAACTGGCCAAAACCACTTTGACCCAAGCCATTTTCCACCTCAGACCCAACCAGACCTAATTGACACTTGCATTGGATTCCCATTGACCCAATGAATCTTCCCCATTAACCCCACCCCCTGGTATTATCTAAGTCGCACCCAAGCTGACCCAGGTTTTGGTCTACTCGAGCCCCATTATTAATCTAGGTTCCCCCATTCCCAATTGACCCTCTAACTGAGCTCACTAGACTCCCAGGAACCTTTCCACCTAAGTCTAACCAACAAGTGGCTGACGGCGGCCGGAACAAATCTAAGTGAGCTCCTGTGGTCCCCCCCCCCCTCACGAGCCCTGGCTAAAGTCTTCCTCATACCTTAGGCTCTACACCTTTGGGCTCAGAAGACTGCCCGAGGATATCCACTTCCAGTTGGCAAGCATCCCATGGCTAACCAGATCAATCCCAGCCATCCATGGCTGCGAAAGCTATTTGAATAGAGCACCTCTACTCAGATGTCCCCATTTGCATCCAGGCTTTCTAAAACATTCTCCATAGCTCCTCAAGTCCTCCTCTATCATTCCCTAGCTTCCCAGCCTTCTCCATCCACTAGTTTGAGTGAACTCCGATGAAATTTATTCAAGTCCAGCTCGAAGTCCTACCTCCGGCGATCCTCCGGCCTTTGTGTCTGAAGAGGAACTGCTCGCCTTCATCCCCCAAAGCTTCTTGATAGAGAAACCCATTCATTGGGGCTTTTTTACACTGTGAGAATCATATCACGAACTCCTAGTTAGGTAGTATTGGTCAAGTATGAAGAAAACCTTCATTCCAATGATTCTCCATCATTTGATTAAAGGTTCCTAATTCCTTGATTCTTTCTTCAAAATCACAAAAAACTTCAAAATTTAATATCTCCCAAATTACTTGACCAATTTAAGAGTTCTTAGGCTCATTGGAAAGATCTTTGGGAGATCTTCAAAAGTCCTATAGTCTCGGGCTATGATTATGTATGTAAATTAATCAATTTCAATAGTTATCATAGGGTTATTTTAGGCTTTTCTTGTAAAATTGAACTCACCACAACTTGAGACTTTGGGAAGTTAAATTTGGGTATGTCTCTGACATGTCCAAATTTTATTTCCACTGTTTGAATTATCTAAGGGCATATTTGAGCTAATTTGAACTTAAGGGTCATGGTTTGACCCCTAAATTCAAATTAGCCTAATGTTCTTTCCAATGGGATATAGGTTCTATGATTTTGTGTGTTAATTATGCTTAGGATAAGGAGTTTAAAGCCACTGATTGTCCTCTCCCTTGCCTTAGGTAGTGAGCTAGGATTTTTCTAAGGTAATTTAGTGGTTACCTTTGGTGGTTTGGTTAACCATCTTAGGGGATTCAAGTTGGGCCCAAATTTAGTGGGTTTGGGCCTTGAGATCAGTTGAACTCATGGCCCAAGTTTTATTGAAATTGGTGACCATTTGATCCATCAACTGGAGAATCCAAAATTAGCTCATAGATTTGACTTAGAAGCTTAATTAATTCATAATTAATTCACATAAAATCCAAAAAATTTACATAAAGTTTATGATTGCTCATAACTACACCCTTAAACCATGAAAAATAAAAGCTCCATTACTAGGCCTTTAACTTAACATTAATTAAATTGTTAAGGAAATCCACAATTAATTAGATTAATTAATTAAAAATATTAAAAATTCCAAAAAAAATTATAAATACTTGGAAGCATACCCTTAGAACATTTCTAGCCTTTGAGGGTGATACCAAGAGTTTTAAAACTGATTTGGATCAAAATTTAAAATTCCCTTTTAATTAAGTAATTCTAAAAAATCCCAAAAATATCTCAACTTTGAAAAATCACCATTAATTCTACAAAAAACCAATTTAATCAAACTTAGTGTCATTCAACTCTAATTAAAATCTAGTACTTTCTAAAAAATGTTAAACCTCCAAAATTAAGTCAAAGTCAAAAAATCAACTTTTTAGTCAACCATAGTTCAAATTAGGTCAAAACTTCAAAAAATTATTACTTAATATAGAAAATTTTAAATTGAGCAAACTTAGAGTCTAATTACTAATCTTAAGATCTAGTATTTAGGAAATATAATAAAATTTTTCAAATTTACTTCAATTCTAAAATTCAACTTTTAACCCCTTAATTAATACATTTACATAATTCTAATAATTCCAAAATCCTTAAAATTTAATAATTCACTAAAATTTTCAGGAAATTTTAATTTAATCATTCAAATCAATAATCAATACACAAAATCAAAATATATGAACCCTTAATTCTCAACCAATTAAATCAACCTAATTAACACTGCTGCTACTGGGTAATTCGACCCTACGAGGTTATTAGTTTAGCCCTAAGGAAGTTGAAATAAATTACACAATGTTGGCAAGCAAAAAAGGTTAGTAATCATTTAATCATTAAAATATACCTAAACTAAGCTTTAAAACATTGATATTTAAACTAAAATATGAATTTCCCCTTTGACCTTAACAAATTCGAACATAGACAACTTTAACAAATTACCCAATTTAGGACATATCCAAGCCACATAGCTTACTTCACACACTTTAGATGGTTTGTTAGGACAACTGACTCTAGTCTAGACTACACTGGTGTTTACTTTTTACTGTTGCGTGTCAGGTTTATCGAGTTTTCATTGCATGCTATGATTGAAAATTAATTGATGTGAGTATTTACTTACTTTAACTGCAATATATTAATTGATGTGATGGCGATATAATACCCTTAGGTTAAGAATTATATGTTTGCTCATTGAGTTTTATACAGGCGGTCACACTCACACAAGGGTAAAATGATGGGGGCAAAAATAAAGTTTTAAAATGACATATTTTAATGCAGATGCTAAAATTGCCCAAGTCCCCCCTTGAAATTAAAAAAAAAGTGGCCAAGTTTGGTTGATAGTTAATTTAATACAAATATATAAACTACTTTGGATGTATTATACTTTAAACTGCTTAGGATAACTATGTATGAGAGTCTAGATTTTCTTTTTAATTTAAATTGAGTTGTAATCGAGTTGTGAAAGTCAACCTTTGAGTTGGGATACAAAAAATCAAAAGTTATACTCCAAAGAGGAAAGGACGTCCCTTAGGGCAGAGTCCTTTTCATTTGGAAGCCCATATTTAGATTACTTTAATACCCAAAGAGGAAAGAATAACATCCCACTAGAGGGAGAGTTTTCTCTCAATTTAGGTCTTTAGATATGATGAATTCAAGGAGTCCGAAGAAGAGAAGGATAAAGAGTATTCCACTTAAAGTCACTTGCGTTTGTCCTAAGATTAGAATCCAAGTATGTTTTTAGTGGTGCCGACCACTTTTAATTCATGTAAATTCTGGATTGTAATAAATAGGCAATTTGCCTCTGGAAAATTAATTAATTAATTTGTTGGTTGATTTGATTGTTTTAATTTGATCGCGATTAAGACTATATATTTTTCTTAGTTTTTTTTGTGATTTGCGTGTAGAGTTTTAATTTAGCCTGGATACGACCGAAGGCTTGTGAGAATATGAATAAAAATATTTTGCACTTAAAATTTAATATTAAAATTTTAGGCTAATATATAAACTTTAACGATCTAAGAAGAAAGCCCGAGATCACCGGGAGTCTGCATAAAGCATATTTTTATTTCTTTTCCTTGTTAGGAACCTCCCTGCATGTGAGTTCTGACATGCCACCTGACCTGTGAGGGCAAATCTGTTAAGGGAATGTTATGCAATCTCTAGAAAAAAAATTAAGCCTTTTCAAAAATCACTGCCTCTCAATTTGTATATTTTATTGAGTCAATCAGCATGCATTGCATTAGAAATCAATTTAAAAATGACTCTAAAATTTTAATTGCATTCGATTCAAACATTCTCACCTAACATAAGTGGTGTGAAAACCGATTGAACCTGCAAAACAAGGAAAGGAGAAGCAGGGAAAAGAGGGAATAACAGAGGAAGAAAGAAACACAAGGTTAGCAGGAAGAAGAAACTGTGATTTCTATATTCATTTCTGGTCTCTCCCGATTTACTGTGCATCTAAATAAAAGAAAACAAAGCAACTAGAAAGCTGAGCTGGCCACGACTTGGCCTTTTTAAAACAGAAAGTGTCATAAAAGCAGGATCACTAAAGCTGCAGAAATGAGTGGATGTCGTAGGTAATAATGGACCGTTGGGAGTTAGCATACGCCGCATGATCGGCCACATCAGGTCTCCCCAGCCACGGAAGATTCCTCACCTGAGGAAGTAGATTGAATATTACCTGCATCGGGGGAGTGGTATGCAAAAATGTCGGATACATTGAACGTTGCCGGTGTGAGAAAGGTTGGCGGTAGGTCCACTATGTAAGCATTATCATTGATGCGCCGCACAATCGGCACCGGACCAATCTTTCTTGGGCTGAGCTTTGAGTGTGTACCAGGCGGAAATCATTCTTTGCGAAGACATACCATGACGAGGTCACCCGGATTGAAGGTTTTCATCCGCCTGTGGGCGTTAGCCTGCTCCTTGTAGTTGTCATTGGCTGATTCCAGCTTCTCACGGACATCTTGTAGCATCTTCGCATACATCTCTGTGGTATTAGCAGCTACCTTACTTTTGCATTGTGGTAGGACGACAATATCTACGATGTGATTTGGACACTTGGTGTATACAAGGCTGAACGGGCATTGCCCCGTCGATCGGTTCGACATGGCGTTATACGCGAACTCAGCTTGTCCAATGTATTCATCCCACTATTTTGGATGCTCATGGGCCAAGCAACGTAACATGTTGCCTAGAGTGCGGTTGACGACCTCTGTCTGCCCATCCGTTTGCGGGTGGTATGCTAAATTAAGTTTGATCTCTGTCCTTAGTCGCTTCCATAACTCTCGCCAGAAATGGCTAACGAAGTTCACTTCGCGATCCGAGGTAATGCTGCGGGGAAGTCCATGAAGACGGACGATCTCTTTGAAGAACAGGATGGCAACGCTTAGAGCGTCGAATGTTTTCTTGTATAGGTGGTTCAAGTTGTTCACTTGCTCCATGGCTCGAAAATTGTGTCTGATTGAAAAGTCCCGGTACAGTATAGGTGGTTCACTTGTTAACTTGCTCCATGGCTCAGCGAAGTCATTATCAGTGGAATAGAGTTCTTGTAGAGAGTATAGATCAGGAGCCTCAAGTTGTAACTTGGTTAGCAGTGCGGTGCGGCGGCTAAGGGCGTCGGCGACTCGATTTTGCGCACCGGACTTATGCTTCAAGATGAAGCTGAACAGCTGTAGGAAAGTCAGCCATCGGGCATGCATTTTGTTCATAGTCTTCTGGCTGTTGATGAATTGGAGAGCATGATTATCGCTGCACAACACGAAGTCCTGATGTAACAGGTAATGCTCCCACTGCTTCAATGCCCGAACCACCGCATACAGCTCTTGCTCGTAAGCGGACCAGTTTTGACGCGCCGGACTCAGCTTCTCGCTAAAGAACTCAATTGGCCTTTCTTCTTGTGAGAGGACCGCCCCAACTCCGATTGCAGATGCGTCTGTGTCCACATGAAAAGGCTTGGAGAAATCAGGGACGGCGAGCACTGGTGCCGTCGTTAATGCTGCCTTCAATGTGTGGAAGCTGCGGTCTTGCTCTGACGTCCACTGGAAAGACTTCTCTTTGAGACAGTTGGTGATCGGTGCAACGACAATGCTAAATCCCTTGATAAACCGGCGGTAGAAGTTGGCCAATCCGATGAAACTTCGAACTTCCGCTACTGATCGTGGGATTGGCCAATCGGTGATAGCTTGGACCTTTTGATGATCCATATGCACCCCTTGCCTGGAGATGATAAAGCCAAGAAAATGCATGGTTCCTGTGGCAAACTCACATTTAGGGAAGTTAATATAGAGCTTGTGCTCTTTCAAAATAGCAAGAATATTAGAGAGATGAATGCAGTGATCTTCGAGTGAGTTGCTATAGATGAGAATGTCGTCAAAATAGACAACACAGTACTCCCCCAGAGCCTATTTAAGAACTTCGTTCATGAGCCGCTTGAAGGTCGCCGAGGCGTTGCAAAGCCCAAACGGCATTACGCGCCATTCGAATAGCCCATCCCTCGTCTTGAAGGTTGTTTTCCACTCGTCACCGGGCCGTATGCGTATCTGATGGTACCCACTTCGGAGGTCCATTTTTGAAAAGATAATGGCACCAGCGAGCTTATCTAGCATGTCTTCAAGGCGGGGCACCGGAAAGCTGTATTTTACGGTTATCTTGTTGATAGCTCTACATCAACACACATACGCCAACTGCCGTCTTTCTTTGGCACGAGTAATGTCGGCACAACACAGGGGCAAAGGCTTGGTTGAATCAGCTGCTTTCGAAGCAATTCCTCAATAATTGCTTGCAAGGCGGCGTGTTCCCGAGGGCTCATTTTATAATGTGAAAGATTTGGTAAATTGGCTCCCGGCTGGAGATCTATCTGGTGCTGTAAATCCCGTAGTGGCGGTAGTTCATTAGGCAGTTCCGCTGGCCATACTTCTCTGTAGCGATAAAGGATTTCACGAACAGCAATTGGAATTTCAGCTTCCGTCTTCACCGAAGTATCGTTTGAAGCCACAAGTGCTAGCATTATTGAGTCTTCCTTCCAAGAAGTAATGAGGTTACTGCCGGAGACCACGAACATTGTGGACTTTCCTGGTACTTCCTTCTCTGCCTCGCCAGCAAGCCGTGGAAGCAAGCGAATCTTGCGTTGCTTCCACTCGAAACTGTATGTATTGGCGCGTCCGTCGTAGACAGCTCCCGTGTCGAATTGCCATGGCCGCCTGAGGATTAAGTGGCAAATGTCCATGTCCAGGACGTCACACAGAACTTCACAAACATAGCTCTTGCCAATTGAAAAGGTCACCCTGCACATTTCAGTTACAGCTATCTCCACCCCCTTTTTCACCCAACTAATCGTATAGGGGTGTGGATTGCGCGTCGTCTTGAGGTGGAGCTTATGCACAACGGATCGAGAAATAATGTTTTCGGTGCATCCGCTGTCGATTAATAGATCACAGACGCTGCCATTGATGGTGCAGCGGGTGCGGAATATAGAGTGCCGCTGGGAATTGCCATCTTGCCGAGGCGCTATGAGGAGTTTCTCAAGGATGCAGGCTAAAGCCTTGCCTTCATCAGCTTGTAGATCTTCAAAGTCCTGTTCGTTCACCAATTCTGCTCCCTGGTATTCATCATCCGGTTCTCCTTCCATCAGCTGGACTTGTTGTCGATTCGGGCAATCGTTGGACTTGTGTCCCGGTTGAAAACAACGGTAGCATTTGAATGTCGCTGGCTTGGCATAGGGGTTGGCATCTTTAATGGGAGTCTTCAGTCGGCCGGTGACTGCATTCTTGGGTTCTGCGCCTAGGATCCCAGCCCCTCCGCAGGGTGAGGGTGCGGGTTTATTCCCGCTAGAGGCATTCGTCTTGTCGGATTCTCCGCTCGGTTCTACCACAAAGCGACGAGCAGTGCTACCCCGTGGATGGCGGTTCAATTGAATTTCAGCTTTGAGGGCATAGTTGACTGCTTGAGAGAGAGTCCACACGGAATTCATCTCAAGTTTGTCTTGAATGGCTTCTTTCAGGCCACCAATGTAACGCGCCACAAGTTGAGTTTCTGACTCGTTCAAGTTGTTCCGGGCGCTCAAACGGTAGAATTCCTCTGTGTACTCGCTAACGGATTGCGTGCCTTGTGAACAGTGTTGATATTGTACATAGAGCATTTGTTCGAAGTCCATCGGCAAGAAATGCCCTCTCAACAGCCGCTTCATCCGGTACCAACTAGTTACATTTCCCTTCCCTTCTCGTCGCCTGGACTGCAGCAGTTGCATCCACCAAGCTCCCGCCTCGCCCTTAAGACGACATGCAACGTACTTAACTTGTTTTTCAGGCGCTATCTCCATGTAGTCGAAGAAAGCCTCGACAGCTCGCTCCCAATCCAGGTAGTATTCGATATGTAGGCGACCATCAAAGAATGAGATATCCAGTTTGATGCGGAACTCCCCTGGCTCCCAGTGTTGCGTTGGATATCTGCGGGCAGGCCCATAATAGGTTGGTCTTTCCTCTTCTGCAGAATCCGACGCCTCAATCGGCTGCTGAACTTCCACCTCGTCTTCTGAGTCTGAGATTATCGGAACTGCATTGTGACGCCGCCGACGTGGATGAAGGCGCAGTGCCGGTGTGGTTGCCGGCGCAACTGGTCCCCTCGTCGTGAAATGTCGATTCGTCCTCAGGGATCGAATCTCGGTCCTCATTTCTACCGAGAACCGGAAGAACTCCGTGGTGAGGGCTTCCATCTGGCGAGCCATGCTGGCTTGAGCTGTCCACAACGCCTCTACGCTTCGGTCTTCCTCTGTCGCAGGGCACTTGCTTCCCTCTGCCATCAAGCCTCGCTCTGATACCAAATGGTGTGAAAACCGATTGAACCTGCAAAACAAGAAAAGGAGAAGCAGGGAAAAGAGGGAATAACAGAGGAAGAGAGAAACACAAGGTTAGCAGGAAGAAGAAACTGTGATTTCTATATTCATTTTTGGTCTCTCCCGGTTTACTGTGCATCTAAATAAAAGAAAACAAAGCAACTAGAAAGCTGAGCTGGCCACTACTTGGCCTTTTTAAAACAGAAAGTGTCATAAAAGCAGGATCACTAAAGCTGCAGAAAGGAGTGAATGCCGTAGGTAATGATGGACCGTTGGGAGTTAGTATACGCCGCATGATCGGCCACATCAATAAGTCAATACAAAAAGTGAACCATAAAATAAGATATCAAGATTAAAATTGAAATAAACAAGAGCTAATACCTTCTCATTGTTTCAGCCGCATGATCAGCCACATTAATAATCTTTCCAGACTTCCATCCATCGTGGAACTTACGCTCATTGTCGTATTTCCTCCCATCATCATATTTCTGCCCGCTGTTAGACTTTCACTGGACCACCTTCCATCGCTGGACCACCATACATGGGTAGGAACTAATGGTCAGAAAGATCGTAGTCTAATGATAGAGATCGAAATGATTGTAGTCAGCAGATGACAGTGGTCAAAAAGATTGTAATCAGGTGACAGAGGTCATAAAGGTTGTAGTCGGCGGTCAATAGTGGTCAGAAAGACCTTAATCGGGGGACGGTGGTCAAAATTACCAATGATAATTGGTGTCCGGGTGTAAGTCCGACAATAATTGGTGGCCAGGTAGATGTCTGGCAAAAGTTCAACGACAGTTGATAGTTGGGCGATGGTCGAGAAGAAGCTTAGTGGAAAGAGATATCTCTAATTTCTCATCATCTCCTCTCTTCTTTTTCTTCCCTTGCTTCCCTCCTTCCTCCCCCCTCTCAATGAAGAATGAGGGGCCTAGTTATAGTTTTTTAGGAATGGAATGGACAGTAAAGAGGGAGGAGATCAAGGTCATATTTAGAGTGTTTTGAATGGACGACCGATATCTAATCCTTTGATCATGGACCATTTATCAAGTATTTAAGTTCCTTAATGATGTCAAAATTAAACTACATTGAGCTCGATGGATTCGTCTCGTTGAGCCGCTCGATTCGACTAAAGCATGTCACGTTTGGAAATTGTTTGGTCATCCAATTTATAGTTTGAACCATTCAAATGCGCTTCGGGTTTTCGATTTGTCCCAATTGGGTTCGGACCGAGTCGAATTTGGTGTCGTCGGGTTCATATTTTTGAGACATTCAATTCGACCATAGGTTTGCTAGAATCGGAGTTCAAATGATCACATATTTAATTTTGGAAGCTTTCAACTCAATTTTGACTTGAGATTCGAGCCTAATCGATATAAATTTTTGATGATATATCAATCATATATGAGCTACAAAAGATAGTACCTTTTTTTATTTTTCCTTAAATTCACAAAAAAGACCTTAATTTCATCATGATAAAATACGACAAATATTCAGTAATAATGATGACAAAAGAGTATGTGAGGTTGGTGTAAATTATCACATTAATACTATTTTTAGAGGTGAAGGCTATGTAATCTTGAGCCATCATTAAAATATTGCAAAGGCTATTAATTATGTTTATATTAATTATTCATTAAAGATAAAATGGCATGACTTAAGATAGATGTGATGAAAAGCATGAACTTGCAAATCTGAGATTGAAAGACAAATAAAAGTGATTAAAAAAACTCTCCTACAAAAGAAAATTGAGACAATCCTTCTTGTAAGAAAGAGAAAATTGAACGGCTTAAAGCCCACTGATATATGGCAATACATAGATTTTTCTACAAATCTACGTACACAAGATATTCTATTTCAATAGAATTTTTTTTAATCAAGCACCTCTTTACTGTAAATATAAAAACTCAATAAGTATATTATTTAAAAAATAAAAAAATTTTACACATAGGATCTTTTAACAAGTATAAAACTTCATTTCCAGATATAAACTTTATCAAATCTTTGTTCTTACTCAATCTCAAATACAACAATTTGGCTCGATTAAAAAAAAAAATAATGAGCATTAATTTTGGCATATCTTATATAGGATCATTTGCTACTTTTTAATTTATTTATGTATTGTTAGAATTTTTCACGAGTATTTATTTTGAGCTTATCATTATTCACATCTTATTAAGGTTTCATTTGGGATGCCTTTTTAACTAATTTATAAAATAAATTTTTAGTATGAAATTTCTTAAAAGCAGAAAAAAGGTAAAAAATGAGAAATTATTCTGTGCAGAAGCCGGACGCAACTCAATGTCCGGAGGAGAATCAAGTGCAGCCACGTCAGCGGTACCGAGCCGAGGTACAGAGCGGTACCGAGTTGCAATACACAACGAACGGGTGATGTGGCGCATTATAATTGGTCTCCAAATGTCATCCACATAGAATAATTTTTCCCCACACAGCCTAAGAAACATAAAATACAGCAGAACAGCAGAAATAATAACAGTACAGATTCTAAGAAGACTGCAGGCGCTTCAAGAAATAAAAACATGACAGAAAAGAGAGAGTATAGGAAAATTTATACAAAATTACTACATCAATCAGAATTGTTTGTAGATAGATAAAACTACTTATTAATCAATTAAAAATATAACCAAACAACTATTTTTTAAGAAAATGGAAGCAATCATAATTCAGGAAACAGGGAAACATTTATGTGCAAAAAATGGAAAAAGAAAACTTGAAAGGAATCAGTTTCAAGTCAGGTGAGATCTTTCACTAAGAAAGGAGACAAAAGAAAATACCAATCTACAGCTAATTTACAATAGCAGGACCAATCTAAAATATATTACTGAGGCTCCTCTGCTGTTGATTCAAGCAGCTGATTTGGGAATTTTAAATTGTTTCTTGAGGAATTGAGAAGCCTCAGAATCGCTTCTGTGACAGAGAACTCTGAGAAGAGTCTTTGAATCTGCTCCGAATCTGCTTCTGCCTCCTTGACTGACTTCTCGAAGATCATCAATCAGCACACGAGTCTGCCAAAATAAGAAAAAGGTGCATTCGATTTAGGCAAAGAAATGAAGGGCCAGTTGAGGTATTTACTTCCCTGAAGTTTTGAAAATAATTTGAATTAGTTGAAGTAAACAAACATGAATATAATAAGTATATATTTAAAGCAAACTAAGATCGCTTCTAAATGTGTGAGTGCCTTTGTTTACAAGCAGTCATTGTCATTCATATGGTTCTAAAGAGAGATTATTCTGTGCGGATACCGGACAGGAGAACCATCCGGTTACACTCGGTACCGAGCGCGGTACTTTTTGGGGTGACGTGACGTATTTTTATTGGTCTCCGGACACATCCGGACTCCGCACAGAATAATAAATCTGATTCTATAAGCCTATAAAGTAGTATCTAAAGTTTCTTATCTGCGAGAGCCTTTATTTACGATTTGTTCTGAAGGAAGAAGAAAATAAACAGTAACGGGCAATTTAGAGCATTACCAGCCCCGGAAAGGTCAAAACAGGAAGAAGAATAGAATACAGAGGAGAAGCGTTTAGTTAGGAGGAGAACAGTGGTTCTGATTTTGCATAACCATTTTCTATCTATCAATACATTAAAAAAAGCAGCCAAACCTCCATATCAAGCTACCTACTAAAAATGCAACTTGTGGCTATTCCCTAACAAACATAAACAAGAACTCTCTTCTTCTTTCAATCTCACCCAAATAGTCACCTACCAATACTACTTTGCTACATGGTAGTCCTTGAGCCAAGTTGGTAAGTGTCAATTCCATTGTCGTGTGTTGTGATCAACCACCTCATCATGTGGTCCATAACAATTTCTGCGCAACCATCGAAAATGACCTTGCCTTCAAAGTTGATATATGTAAAGGCTTCTTGAAGCTTAATCTCGCCCACCCAAGTTGCATCTTCTAGTTGCAGTCCTTCCCAATTGATTAAGGCTTCGTTTGGGACAGCTTTCATACTGCTTTTTAAAACGACTTTTGAGTACAAAAAATTAAAATTCAATAAATTTTTGTACTACAAACTTGTTTTAGAAAGCAAGAAGAAAGCCGTCCCAAACGAAGCCTAAGTATTGGACTTCAATGCGGCCAGCTTTGGAGGTGTGTCCTAAGTTAAGAATGGTTATCAGCTTAACCATGGGTTGATTGTCCCATGAAACTGTCAAGTGGACTGGGTGTGGTTGGATATTTTTCAGATATGGATTGAGCAGAGATAGATAGAAGACTGAAGACTGGATGGATCTGAGAGTGCAGTGGCGAGGCGAGTTTATACGCAACTGATACAATACATTCGAGTATGTGATATTGGCTATAGGTAATTTTGAATGAAGTTGGTGGGAGAGGGAAGCTTATCAACATGGCTGCAATTTAGCAAGAGCTAAATCCCTAATTTGAAATTCAATTTACCTTATGAGTTTGTCTACTTGCTGCTTGCAGTGTTGTATGTGCTGAAGATGTTCTTGAATGTTGTGAGGGTTGCAAAAAGGAGCTGAACTTGCAACAGATAAGATAGTTAGAATTGTTGAAGGCCTACGACAGAGAAATACAATACCACCTTGGGAAGCCAAACCTCTTCACTGATGTCCTCAACAAAAAGATCAACAACTTTGTGAGGTGCCTACTAGCCAACACAAAAAGACCATGCCCGATTGGTTAAATCCAATCATCAAAGTGCAAAAATAAGACCCTTATGGTGGACGAACGGACAAGAATGATTGATAAATTATCCGCATCAAAGCTAAGCCAGGTTGTTTTTCAAGGGATGTGTACATGCCTAATGACCCCATGACAAAAAAAAAAAAAGGATATCCTTCATGAAGCATATTCTACAAAGAATATCATCACCCAGAAACCGGCATGACGTATCTAGACTTGAATATCCAATAGGGGGCAAGGGTTAAAGAAAGACACTAGAGGACAATTGAGTAAGAGCTTGTGTCCTAAAGTAGAGCAGACCATTACAACCCCTATCAATACCGGTGCAAATGTGAATACATCGTTACGCACTATATGATGGGAATATCGGGAACACCAAAAGGACATGACACGATTTCAACCATGATCGACCAACATACCAATAGCACTCACTTCGACAGTTCCCATATCATTGATTGAGTAGCACTGTTATGCATGGACAACTTCATTTGCATGCATAATGCATCAAAAGACTAACTTCTCAAATATAGATGGGCGGTTCACCTCATGATGATGGAGGCACATACAAAAGGTTTTGAGAACAAAATTGGAGTTCACCTCATGCTTATGGAGGCGTATACAAAAGGTTTTGAGAACTCAATTGGACTCCAACTTCACTCGTAGTTTGACGGCCAATACGGAGGACCATTTAAATAAAGGGGGACTTGCTAAGTCTACGCATCAAAGACTTCCGAGGAAGTTGGGAGCCGTAATTATTTTTCATAGATTTTACCTACGCAAATAACCATCAGGCTAGTATTGACATGCAACTTATAAAGTCGTGTATAGGCGACAGTGTTAGCCACCCTTGTGTTGGATAAATCCTAGGGAGCATAAAGCCTTTGAAGCCCAATTAACTGATAAGACCAATATGAAAACCAAAAAAATTTAAAAGCAACTCCAAGAAGCTCATGATTGACCACATAATTATCATGACAAAAGGCATGGATATGTTCAATTCAAGCCAAAAGAATGAGCATTCTTGAAGATTAATCCTACACTCCTACTAAGGCCAACAAGTGTTTCGACCACGCCAGAAAACCTAGGTTGTGCTTTGTGGGACCATTTGAAATTTTGTCCGGTGTGAGTTTTATATTGGCTATGGTTTATTAGATTGCCTAGTGGTTAAATGTGAGTTTTAGATTGGCTATGGTTTGGAGCCCATGTTTATTAGATTGACCGTTAATTTGCTTAGTTTGGGGCTTACAGTTTCAATTAAGAGTTGCCTGTATGTTTTCGGGCTAACGACTTTCGTTAAAAGTAGCCCGTAAAGCGGGCCTTATGGCTTCATTTAGAAGTAGCTCAAGTAGTGTTCAGATGGTGGGACTTACTGCTTCCCTTTTGAAGTAGTCCATGGGATTAAGAGGTTTAGGGGTCTTCACTTAGAAGCTTCCCCAAAATATGGGTTTTACGGCTTCACTTAGAAGTGGCCCGAATAATGGGTCTTACAGCCTCTATTAAAGGTGGCCCAAATATGTAGATTTGGTTTAGGTTATTTTAAGTTTCTCTAACATGTGGGTCTTACTAATTCCTTTTGAAAGTAGCTCAAATAGCGAGTCTTACAACTTAGCCTTATAGGTTATGATGCTGTGGGCTCCGAAAATTCGGCCCCGGCCTCCCCGCTCGCTTTTCTTTTATTCCGGCGAGGGAGTTTTAACGAACTAAGTTCCGAGGTAAATTTTGGAAGGCAGATGGGGAAGGCAGATGGGTTTGTAGATAAGACACTACCCAGAGATTTCGCCCTCATTTTGCGAGGACTTTATGATCCGAGTTCTGGTTTCCTATAGGCGCAAGCCCCTATAGTTAATTACCACT